TCTCATGACCAGCACGTTACCATTGAGCCACTGGATCACAATCCAATTCTCTATATTTCCTATTTCTGTCAGTTCACGATATAGCGTGAACTACATCCAATGTTGTTGTTGAGTAACTGTCCTCATGTTTTATTTGGTTGACTCCATTGCTCACGACTTCTCATTGGAACTTGACGAATCATATCTCAAAGTTAATCGCCACTGAGTGCTAGATAGATTCTATCTGGAGGTTTGTGGAGGTTTATGAATTGATTTTATGTTGGAAATGTAGACCACTGGATTCGGACGCAATGGCTCAATAGTTACCTGCTGACTATGGAACCTGAAGGTCGCTGGTTCGATCATTCGAGGGAGGGATCATGGGTACGTACTGTTGTGGAGTCCTATAATAGGAGGAAACATTTGTGAAGTGCTCCTTGGTTTCCAGTGTTTCTTCAACTGGTATTATTTCAATTTAAAAAAACAAAACAATTAACCTCCACAAACCTCCAGATAGTATTACAGGAACTATTGATAGTAACTGCAAGTTTTCATACTGGCTGAGTAATCTTCCACCATGAAACCTACTGGTACTTCTCTATTTGTTCCCCGTATAACAACGTATCCATAACCGATAGACGATAACCGAAAACAACTGGTCTTTAAGTATTATCGCTTATTGTGATTAACATTACTTAACTGAGATGATTATTAAATTTAAAAATACTTTACAAGGAGTAAACTTTGTTGAAATATCACACTAAGAATCTAAAAAAGCATTCAAATTATGGTCCAGAATAAAATGATTATCGTTGTTGTTAAGTTACTTTGGTTGGGAAATAAGACAGATATATTCCACTTTACCACTTTACAGAATTTGAATACACAGGTCTCTTCAAGATGACCTGTAACTACTTATCTAACGTGTGAAGATTAGCTTCATTCAATCGAAACAACAAGCAATTAGTTTTTAAAAAAAGGTGATAATTACTGATTACCAAAGCACCAATACACCGCGCAAAAATACACATGATACAGAAAATATGGATTATTTTTATAAATTAATAAATAAATACAAAGATGACGGTATGTGGAGGAAAAAAATCCCCTAATAGGTTAACAAGAAACTATATGATCACTTTGATGATAATTCATTACAACAAAGTTTATCAATAGTTGGTCTGCTCAACAAATTTGTTTAACGCACACGAGTAGATAAGAAGAGTAATGAACAAAAATACCAAAATTATGCTAACACAGAAAACTATGATCATCATAATTATGATTATTTACGATAATTGTGAAGATAAGTACATGCAGAGTATGAGAATAAGTTAACAAACCTGTAATTCCAAAACAGACACCTCCTAAATAAATTAATAGCAGACAATAAGCATACAAAAGTTATGCACGATAAATGAGTAAACGGTAGATCGAAAACAGTTAGTGACCATATCTATCAGAGTTATTATTATCTCCAAAACAAGCGTTCATTATTGCTTTCAATGAAAGAAGATTACAAGTGAAGTAAAATATCTCCTGAAGATTCTATTCAATACGGTACATACAACAGTGCTCAATCAAAACTTAAAATATAGTATTACTACTTAATGAAATTTAAAAGGCTATGATTTAAGTCTTGTACTTAAACGACAATAGTTGCTGTGATAATCACAGTATATCAACCAACTAGGAGAGGAGTAAAGAACAGAATAACGGCAAAGATATATACGCTTGTAACTTGATTTAGTCATACAATTCAATAAATTCCACTTCGTACAATAAAAAATTGCATAAAGTCATACGATTACGTCTCCATGAACGATATTCTATAGAAGTGATCTAAAACAAGTGTCAACTTTCATCATCAAATTTGGAATGGTATACAAAGACTGAATTCCAAAATCTTTTGTAGTTGTAATTATTAAATGCTAAGGGAGTTCAGGTAAAACAGATATTATGCAATACTTGCAGTCTGAAAATAATAATAACCATATAACGACGATTTGGTTGACTATTCGACATCGATCGATCCCATGAGTAGTGTAAAGTAGCGTATAACGTCAACTATGTCACTTCTACACTACAATGTTAGAACAATATTGGTAAAATATAGATTAAAAACCATGGTTTCCATAAAAGAAACTCCCGTGACATTCTTCAACTATATATCCTCTTATTGTGGCCTTCTAAACTTTGACTACGGAATCGACAAACAATTTTTTTGATCCTTAGTCTTCATAGTAGCGAAATTCTGTGGATAAATACAGTAGACAACGATAATGTATTAATAGTGGGTAGTACATTTATCGTAATTATCATTGGTATCCCATAGAGACATAGTTCTGACGCCGAAAAGATTGAAGTGCTGGTAATGTATCTAGTTGCCATAACTCATATCAGTACATCAAGTAACAAACCTATAAGACGAAACATGCAGACACAGAGAGGAATCGGTAGGAACGAAGTAGAAGAGAGGAAGAAGAGATCAGAAAACGCTAAATTCAGTATACCGATTAAGATAAAGTATAGATAAATCTGAGTTAGTGACATCGCTTATAGGTTATATCATCAAGATTCTCCAACCACTAATTTCTGCAGTCATATGGACCCCAATCAACTAGCCTGCCATCTTCCTTCATGAATCAGAACAACAGTCAAAGACTTCATGCATTAATGCTATAATTTGGTCTGATGGCCCTAAGCATTTTTCCAGCCTGAACTTATTTCAGTTAACATTGAGCGATGAGGCAAAATAAATTGCCTTCAGACAGACGATTACTTCTGCTGTCAATAATAAGTTGACCACCTCTACCATGGGTTAACTCTTTTGTATCAGTTTATGATATTTCGTCAGTATTTTCGAATCCTCTAGTAATAGCTACTCAAAATCCAACCTAAAAGGTACCCACTCACATATCTTCGCTGCTAGAACTCAATCGGTAGGAAGTTCTGGACATATAGCTGACAATCCTCAATATGGTGTATCTGTCTCATTATTAAAACGATGTTCAAATCTGTATCAATCATTACTACTGAAGTAAGGAGATTTCACCACCAAACTGTTCAGGTTATGACCATCCCTTTGTAGGTTAGTACTCAGTACTAAGCAGTGGACAGCTCCATCAGTTACCTACTGGTGATTATTTCAGATATGCCCGTACACAACGCCAATACAAATGCTCAGAAATGGTTGCATAAATAAAAGCATATCCAAAGTTAACACTTAAAGCAAATAAATTGATTAAGGAAAACATGATTTAACAACAGCACAAAATTCTTGAACCATAATATGATTGAACGCAGTGTGTTTTTATGACTCTGATAATTTGAACTATTTTCAAGTAGGAGACGAAAAGAAAGAATTAAAGGATATTTGCATGCATCAAAAGCAACACAAAATAGAATGCAGACTTTTGCAGTTATTGATAAGAATTTGGAAGATAAAAAAGCGATATTCCATTTAACATGAAGATTGTAACAAGTTGAAGAACAGATATTCAAAGTAGTCAAAAACTATCAGTTAATTCACTATAAAAATATTTACTGGCTTAAATAACGGCTACATCAGATGATCAACTCAGTATTGCATAGGACAGAAATTAAAATAGCTACTAGCAACCGATGAAAATTCAATAACTCCTTAGGTAGTATAATTATGTTTATCGTGAAGCTTAAAAGTTTACGATTTCAAGAGTCTATACAATCACATCTAATCGACTCCCGTCATATATCCCACAAACTAGCGCACTCCCTTGTTCTTGCGTAGCCCTTGAAAATGAAACTAAGTCTGAAACTGACTTCTATTTATTCAAAAACCGTTTAATAGTATATCTATGTTTTTTTTTAATATTTCTTGTTTGTCGTTACCATGTAGAATATTATTAACTTAAAACTTCAGTTCATTTAGATGTTTATATGATGAATTCTAGTAGATTATCATCACCTTTTTGATGTCTAAGATTGATACTCTCGTTTAGTAATTCTGTAAATAAGTAAATTTCTTTATTGAAACTACGTGATGATGACAGACAATGAAGTGAAAATTGGAGCTGTAGTAGGATTCGAATCACCGACCACCGGGTTTCTGGCACAGTGATTTACGAGACACAAATGATGGACAGATTTTCATTCCATTTCAATCACGTCAAACTACGGTTATCTCAGATAGTCAAACTAATAATCAATATGATGCTGTCCCTATTTAATTCAAGTAAATTTAGATTGTGATGAGAAGTCTGGGCTGGGTAGCCAGTATAGGGATAGTAATGCATCACGAATTCACATACCAATCGGGAGAAAACTCACTTGGTAAAGCATCAGGCCGAAAATCCAGTGACAGTTGGCTCAAATACTCCTGCGGTTCACATTTTTCTTTCACTTTTACCACACAGTATCAACACAAGTCTGCCAAATCATAGTTATCTCATTCAGTCAAACTGATAATTTCTTTATTAACTAACAGTCTAAATTGTTATGATGTATTTTATATAATTTTTAATTACAAAAATATAGTTAACTAAACAATAACTATCACTTCCAAAACTCCTAACAACTTGGTTTGTGTATATTCTCTTTCATGTAGATAAAAATAGTATTTAAACCCTGGGTCTGGTGAAAAATATGTTTGCCATTAATATTTTATGTTCTAAATAAAAGTATATAGCAAATTTCTCTTAATGTTTTTCATTTCAAATCCCTACCTAATGAAAATAGCATGATTAGAATGAAACGTAACTCTGGACGAATAAAAGTAGAAGCTTCAAGCAAGTTGAGAGTGCAATATCATTGTTTCTAGGATAAACCAATAAGAAACAAATATCTACACAATGTGTGCATAACATAAAGTACTGAAGATGTATACTACCAATTATTGACTGAATTAGAAAACGACAATAAGAGAAAAATCGAAGGAAACTAATTTCCTTTAAAAAAAATACTCATAAAAAGAACTGTGATCATTTTTTTCTGCTAATATTAATAATAGTAATAAATAGAAATACAAAAAGTGATCTACTTACATCTTTAGGTCTTTTTGGGAAATGATTTACAGTGATTTGATTAATTGATGATAATGGACCATGATCATCACCTGTTACTGAATTCAGTGTTTGAAGAGCTTCAGCACGACGCCGTGCTTCATTATCAACAATCGCATTCTACAAAATGATAAATGAATCTTTAGAGAAAAATATACAAGATATACAACCAGTGCTAACATTCCTAATGGAGTGATTTTTAATATTTTCACAGTTGTTCAATTCTGATACCGAATATTTGTAGCTTAGGAGGATAATTTTGATAGTGTTGTGTTCAATGAGCTAGATAGCTTAATCGTGAAGCTTTTATGTGTCATTCCAGACAATATCATCGGCACAAACTTCAAAAAGAAGTGAGCAATAGGGTCTCATTATATATATAGAATATAAACAGTTCTCCAGTAGCCCACACCCATTTCTCGAGGTATGAACTATCATATCATCGCTGAAGCCTGGATTCATCACCATAAGGCCAGAGTACATGCAGCTCAGCACGAAGCCGGGTGCATGTGGGCAGCAAACCCGTGAATGGTAGGCTAAACCGGATTGCTTAAACAGTGTAAAATGTTAATGACATCAACAGGGTGAAGTGTATGCATATAGCACACAACAAACTTCAAACTTAGCACACGACCATAAGATCATGTACTATCTCTCCCATCACTCTTAGAGATCTAGGAGAATACAGTCACGTGAACACCATCAGAGTATCTGACAGGCTAGATATCCTGATCAATCAATCATAGAATTTTCTTTTTGATATAAGGATTTTAACGGCATGTTTTAGTACACCGTATTTATATACCATCGGCATGAGAATGGACTTGCCACCCAAACATTTCTCATAGGTAAAACCAGTTTGGATATCTGGTAATGATCCTTCCCCAGGTTCACATATGGAAACCTTTGACTTTCCCTCTAAATAGTCAAATTACGTAGTTTTCTCAGCATCAATCGAGCGGCAAGCCACTTCAACGACTTCACTAAACCATTCAATTAGTAGAAGCGGCGAGCGATGAGTACAGAAGGCAGGGACGTATTAAGCGCAAGCTTGTGACTTGCACTTACCAGGAATTCCTCATTCACGGGGAATAACTGCAAGCACCAATCCCGGTCACGACAGTGCTAAAAATAGTTTGCCCAACTCTTTCGAGCCAGGTTTCCATTCATTGGCACCGTTATTGTAGCATACGTGTGACCCGGGACATCCAAGGGCATCACATACCTGTTATTGCTCAATTTCGTGCGACTCAAGCGTGCCACGTGTCCCTCTTAGGAGTAAAAGCTGGTACCGTACCCACTGGAAAACGACCACACCAATCCATAAAGAAGCAGTAGAAGCCGTATCCTGGACAAGCACAGAGGACCAGTCAATGATTTAGCAGGTTAAAGTCTCGTTCGTTATCATAATTCACTAGACAAATCGCTGCAACAACTAAGAACGGGCATGCAGTACCACAAATGATTTATTAGCTTGTCCTGATGGCCTGGTGTGTGGCTGATTGTCTTGCTGACGTGAACTTTGGCCCTTTTGTTGTTTCGTATTGGTTGATAGATTGGGTCAATATCGATATGTCCGTTGATTGCTGACTGATATAAATTCCAAGCTTCTAAAAAATTTCCATCATTCCTTGTATTTCCTTTCTGCATAATTTTCATATTTTCCAAGTTAAATTCATGTCTACAGTTGTCCGTATGCATTGATACGAGCGAAGGTATGTCATGACGCTTCATTGCTAGTTGATGTTGATGAAAACAAAAACGAAAAGGGCGACCACTCTATCCGACATAGTGTTTTTCGCAGTTTCGGCAGTTTATTTTATAGATAACGTCGGTTTGCCTTTCTTTGTTATTGCATCTTTAAGCCTACATAACAGAGAGTGAAGAGATTTTGTGAGCTCCAGAGATTCCAAGAGGCTTCAATAATCTAGTTATGATCTCGGAGGCGTACTTCACGTAAGGTAAGCTAATCTGTTTGTTGGATTTCGAAGCTGACTGCATTGCTTAAAACGAATTATACAAGCAACTTCTGATGAATTTGCGTGGATAGCCATCCTTGTGGAAAATCACCAATAAATAGTTTTCTTCATTTCTCGGCAAAGTTGACGTAATTCAACGTGTCTTCACTCTTTTGAACAATGTTTTTAAACAGTTGATCTTGTGTGCTGGTCGGTAGTTACTATTGTAGTTGAGGATTTGATCAGTACGTGTTGGCTTTATGTATACTTCAGTTTCCAATTTCTTTGAATCCGTTCTAGTGATCAGAACATCTAAAAATGCAAGTTTATCATTAGACTCCTGTCCAGTTGTGAATTTGATGTCGTCGAAAATGTTCCTGATTATTCAGTGCCCCTAGGTTTTTATCATTTTTATGACCGATATCATGATGAAAACGACTTCGAAAATGTTACTACAAGATAAATAACCCTATAGTACATTAATTTAAAGAACGGCATGCTTTTTAGTAAATACAATAAGCATAAATATACCATCAATGATTAAACGAGTTAAGACTAACAATATAAAAGTATCACCTTGAATTGTTTAATAAATCGAACAATTAAACCAAAGAATTGTTCTGGACTAGGTTTCGACTGAGCTTCACCAAACCATTCAATTGTTCGAGCAAACATATTACGTGCAGTTTCAGCTTCTTTTTCAATTGTCTCCACTTTTGATTTGTTATTAATTACAAAATCTGATAAACGTTGAGGTGTTTTCAATGAACCAGAAATAATTGTTTCTTTGTCAGCCTGAGACATACCAGAGATTAAAGCAGATACATCTGATGTCAATGCTTCCATTGGCACTAGTTAAATTAAGAATATAAATGAACAGGATATGAAAAATACAGGTTAATTACTAACTACAATATTGAACCTCAATGATTTTTTAATACATATAGCTCAACTTTATAATGTTGTTGTATGTATGATAAACAAGTTGTTTCAGCAAATTACGAAGGTTCACTAGTCGACTATTTAGAAGACTGGAAATCTCACACAAGTGATAAAGCAACTGTTCCCAATGGAGATCTATACAAATACATGATTCTATCTAGTCAATGTAACGCCCTTCTGAGAACTATGACTACATGAGGAATGGTTGGTAGGACCTAGGTGAACTTGTGTCTACGTATAAATGATCAGTGTACAGGACTATCATAATAGTACATTTGTTCAAAACATCACAGTTCATATCGTTATAACAATAACCAAAATAGATTCAGAGACGGGAAATTGAAACCAAAATATGAAATATGAAATCAGATCATAACCAGTTCTTAAACCAAACTAAGCTATGAATGCAGCTAAACTGGTGAGACATAGTAATCAGCCTGATGAGTTATCTTCATGTATAATTCACATTTTCAGAGTTAATAAGAATCTCTACTCACAGATTAGCAAACGAAATGACGTAGAAAAGATTGAAGTCATACAACGGCATACATACTTTACTAGTAACCTTTCAAAGTGCTTAGTCTACTATACTAGAATAATCTCACCTTATTTAATTTATAATTTCACTTTGTCCACATGTTACATTTTTATGTAAAGGTAGAGTTTAAACACCCGGTTATCTACTTGACTATACTTTAGTCCAGTTTAGGAAAATTTGAATGGTTGGATACTATCATTAAACTTGTCATTAGACGTGTAATTTAGAGCCAAAAAAAGTAGAATTGCATTATTATCGAATACATTTAACTGGTTAGTAGGGTATGTATGGAAGAACTTGTGGCTTGTCTCGTCACAATTACTTCATAATTACATGTTTACTCACCAAAGAAGCAAAATAATGACACTGATAAAAATACAAATAATAGTGACAACATAAGTAGAAAGGAAATCAACACCTCTATTGTGATACCATACAAGGAAGGAACATCAGAAACCATACGTAGGATTCTCAACAAGATTGGAATTAGGGTGGCATTTAAACCAACAAACTCACTTAGAGGTAAGCTTTGTCGGCTAAAAGATCCGATAGAACCAATTAGGCAAAATAATATAACCTACCAAATTCCATGTAATGACTGTGAGGTCAAATACATAGGTCAAACTAGCCGGTCGGGGTCAGTTAGATTAACAGAACATAGGAATTTAGCTAAACATAGAACGGCAGACCCCAATAAGATCAATAACCTAGAAAAACACCCGGCCATTGCATTACATTCATTAACACACAACCACACAATAGGATGGGACAAAACCACTGTACTTAAGTCTAATATAGTTAGGTGGAGAGAGAGAGAGAGAGAGATTAATTACTGAATCTTTGTTCATCGAATCCACACCCAACACATGTAAAAGGAATGACGTAACACCTATACCAGAGATATGGAAAACTTTACTACCAATCAAAAAACAAAGAAAAATCAGGTGACAGAACTATAAAATCAGATATCGAAAGAAGTGTGATTACATTGATATGATTATGAGCAATAATTTATGCTTGAAACGTAATCAAGTAAATAATACTGTAAGTGAAAAACTTGGGCACTGTGGTAGAATGTAATTCCATATTAGATTTGTTTATTTGATATAAAGCGCACAGTGATACAGTATTATTATTATTATTATTAGTAGTAGTAGTAGTAGTATTAGTATTCTTAAATAATACTGTATCACTGTGCGCTTTATATCAAATAAACAAATCTAACATGGAATTGCATTCTACCACAGTGCCCAAGTTTTATACTTACATTAAAGATCTTTCCTACCTAGCGAATATTAACTTCATCTTAGTGCATATTACATTGATGCAATCATTTTAGAAACCTCTCTACAATAACAGACATGTAGTTATTAAACATTTATAGACTTTCTCACTTTCAATAACTCTAAATCGTCTACATATGGTTAAGCTTTTTCCTGGTTTCTCATAGTACCATATGAAAAATATGTCTGCATTATACATACATATAATGCACAGACAAAGAAACAAGAAACAATAAGAATATATTTTCGTCTTCTCTCACCCTGTCTGTTTCACTGCTTAACCGCACCCATTCTCCACATCTCTGTTACATATACGGTATGTTTAAGTCACTTATTAATAGTAATAATTGTAATAATAATAAAAATATATTATGTTATAATTTGCAAAGGTATAACCGGACAATGGTCACATGGATATCAAGTTCGAATTGCTTTTCTTTTGCAGCAACACAAATTCAACCTGTGCAATTGTGCGATAAACAACTTAGGCTAAATTGTTCCGCATACATTACCATTTGTCAGAGTTGAATGAACAGCTGTTATTTAAAATGCTAAAACATCTAAAATATGAATAGTACGGGTGTGCCAAGCGAAATACACCAACTAAATACTTCAGCTCTTATAATTTGTAATATATTTAAAAATCATGTTCATTAAATGGGTAGGATACATCAACAGACACCATAACCGGAACCAATGTTTTCGTTAAGTTGGACTAATAGATAGAAACTCAGAACAAAGATGAGGTTTTTGTTAATGAACTTGTAATTCTCCGTTGTTTTGCTGGATCGACATGTGTTGGCATATGAGTTCCTACGAGGATGCCTCGACATTGCCTGGATACTTATTATGGCTATAAGAAGAATCCAGGACGTGTGTTTCGTCCTGTTTGGGGCTCGTCAGCTGGATGTACCTCGTCACCCGAGTGAGTGATGTTGTTCCCACTGAGACTCGAGCCTCGTATTCGGTGCTTGAAACATCAGAGCGTTAATCCACTGTCCTCGGCCTCAGTGGCCTGTTGGATAACACTCTGATATTTCAAGCAACGGGTACGAGGCTCGAGTCTCAGCGGGAACAACATCACTCACTCGGGTGACGAGGTACATCCGGCTGACGAGCCCCGAATAGGACGAAACGCGCATCCTGGATTCTTCTTCCAGCTGCAACCAAGTAAATTACCGTAATAAAGATGAGTGTGTTTGACTGAATACGTTGTACTGATCATCTATATGAAACAAGACAACTAATTGATAACAGTTCACCCTAGAGTGTAAGTAAAACAGGTTTACTGTTTTAAACACTGCTCTTCAAATATTTACAGTAAGAAATAAACAAACTGTGCAGATGAACACAGAACGTGTTCAATAGTCTATTGAATTATGATGCATAATTCACAGAATACGACCTGCATCGTTGAGTAAAATTGAACAACTATTAACCCTTCCATAATAGATGTGATTTATTCTTCAGTAGACGCTGGTAGAATTTAGAGAAGATAGAGAATAATTGCAGCTCAGGGATAGAATTTCAGAGATGCTTGGATTCAATAAGCTAAACAGCTTAATCTTCAGGCATATATTTCCACTGTAGACAAACAGGAACTTCGTCCTAGAAGACTAAAGGCAACATAATCCAACTCAGAATGTAATTTAGCTAAGATAACTTAAGAGAAGCTTTACCAGAGTTCAAGCTGATGGCCTTCAAATCACAAGGAAGTATTACATAATACAAGACTTAAAGAGGATGGTAAACTTTATCTGAAACCTAATGAAGACAATATAACTTGTATAGAGTTAGTACACATACTGAGATAAAAAAAAAAGCTCCTGAAAGTTTAAAAAAATAAACACCGTGGAGAAATGAGCATACAGTTTCCTCATATACATTGTGACTAGAGCCGAATGGCGCTGCATTCAGCATTCAACTACTGATATCACAGGCATAAAACGAATACTGTCAAAGAGAAACCAATGTATGGTTCAGAATAAAACTAAAGGCCTACAGTTGACATCATAAGTTTCTATCAATTAAAGTAAGAGGAAGTTGTATAGTGTGATATATTCGCGCAATACATTTCGAACAAACTAGTCACACATTTACTTGTAAAGGTATGATAAATGAAAATAGGGTGGGATAAGGTCAATTAATAAAAATAATACAAGATTTGGTATAGTGATAATGAGGAGGAATAATATATTTTCACACCTCCCTTGGCATTAAAATGAGATAAAGATTACCAAGGAAGATTCAAGGTAAGGAAAAATTGTTTTTAAATACATGTAGGAGGTTTAAACTTTTATATAACAAAGGCTCCAACGAACCCTAAGTATATAGTCTTTACGGCTCCTATACAGTGGTATAAAAACTACTTTCGGGTAAATCCTGTGACCTGTTTTAATAATGTGTTTACTTATCGACGATGACATCTATCTGCCTGCTATATTTATAACATTATTTGGATTTTATTGGATATGCTCCACTTTTTATAGTTCAATTACTTCTCCCAATGTGTGTGACACCTTACACACATGTAAACTAGTATACACAGCAGGATGTGACGTATTCATCTACGTAGTGATAAGGTTTATTTTGAAGCATAGATCCCATTTCTCCATAATATTGAGCTTGACTGCTTTTTTTAATAACTGAAATAAGTCTTCGTCTTAAGATCATGCTGTTTGATTCCCCCTTATCGGTAGTGTTATGTAAACATCCTTCTTCGGGATAGAATAATGATACGTTCGTACTGTTGAGATGTTTTTATAACGATGGGTGAAATCCAGAGGATATGCGTTTTCTATGTGTTTCTGTTAAGAAATGATTTTTTTTTCTCCAATGTATCTGTCGTGCAGATAAGTTGAATCTTTTTGAATAAGCATTTTACTAAACCTCATTTGTACTGTAATTGACAGAGACTATGAATACTTCGGTACTGTCCGTTCAGGTCCACACTGATCTTTTTATCGATCCATCTTCCTTTCTAGTTAGGAATACGTCAAGAAGAGGAATGTGATTATTATTTTCTGCTTTTCAAGATAAACTAATGTAAATTTGTATGATGCTAAGTTTATTTAGAAGACTTTTAGCATCCTCATGTTTGTTAAATATAACTAAGACATTATCAACGTATCTCCTGTACAGATGAACTTTGGCGTTTCAAGCCTCAGCCGAAAATCCTACATGTGACATGTAGATATCAACAAACAACGGTTCTAAAGGACAACCCATTGTAAAGAAATATGAATTCAACTTCACTCAACCAATGGTCTGATCACTTGTTGTATTTTACACTTATGTGACAATGTTAACATTCAATGGATAAAATAATAGCATTATCTACGTTCCATTGAATTATATAGCTCAGAGGTAGATGACACATTTTTTCGTAAAATAAAGGTCTACTGATGACCATATCAGTAGTGTTAAAAAAGATTTGAAAAAAAACGAATCACTAAGCTTTAATGGGACGTGCATCTTAGGTTTACAATCGTCCAAACATCTACCTAGGTCTCTACAACTAGAGTCAATTACTCGAGAAATTGTACTGAAAAGTCATTAAGGTATGTAAGGACAAAAAATGTGATCAACTGATTTGTGAACTTTAGTATTACATAAAGGAGAATAATATAGCACATCCACATACCTTTTGCAGCTTCTGTGATACCTGCCAACTCATCATCAAAAGTAATTAAAGCTGGAAATTGACTTTCAATTGTCTCAACGATAAAATGAAGCAGAGTCCATGATTTATCTAACGTCCGTGTATCAGATAACTTGAGAAAAAGAGAAAAATTTCGAAATTACAACGAAAAAAAATATGATGAAAGGTTAAGTAAACTGATAACTGTGACTGAAATATTTAAAAAAAATGTTTAATGATATTTATGAATCAATTACTTTTGATAAACTGTCTCTGTCTTTGCTTAGTAACTGTGGTATACTCCATCTGGTGTTGAACCCTTGTAGGCAATCTTAAAGATTCTATCCAATCAACATTAAGGTGATTTGTTTTTCTTTGATGAAAGTGTTTTCAGTCAACCAATACAGAATATGAAATCATAGACGGATAACAATGAAAACAAAACAATTCCGTTCATACGATGATATTTTTAGATTGAATGAACTGTAGCAGTTTATACAAGATTCCGGTTAACGATAGAAGGAAAAATAAACTATGTGAGAAATTGTTTTTCAAGAGTCATGATCTGTTCTCACAGTAATTACATTAGTTAGCTATCCAGACAAAACAGAAAAGATTGTCCATTCACATTTCTAATTCAATCTCCAAAGTGAATCATTAAAGAGTCTACAAACTTTGAAATGAGAAAAATCGTTACAATCATACTACTGAATTCATTCGATAAATCAACTATTTATATTACGGGATTCAACTTTATCATCATATCCACTAAAGTAATCATGAAATCTGAGAAAGTTCAATCAATAATTACACTTTATTAGAAGCTCAGAACCTGAAAATTTGCCATCTGAAATTTTGAAAGGAGGGAGGCAGGAAATTCCTAATTAAATAGAACCGAGATATTAGATAGTGTATGGGAATCAGAGGTAGTCCCGTCGGACTGGTCTACCTCACTGATCATGTCAAATCATAAGGGTGAGAAGAACATATGTGACAATCATAGGGGAATTCATTCGAATAAAATTGTGTCCAAGATCCAAGGGTCCATAGTTATCTGATAACCTCGACTAGTTTACTAATTCACTAGTTATTAGCCGGTCGTAAGCCCGAATAAAGACGCAAGGTTGGGCATAGGCCTAGCAACCCCACTCCGCAAAACCAATCCAATCTCCAAACAAACTTCAAACCATAGAGAATATATATAAAACAACAATAAACTTATCCCTCGTTGGAATCAGGAAGACGAAACGACCCTGGTTGGTGAAGGACTTCAGAAAGCCAATTGGTCGATGTGTTTTCTCTTCTATTCTCTCGATGAAAGCAAAAGCAGGAGCGAGGATATGGAATGTCCACACAATGTTTGAAGATAGCAAGACTGTTCAGATTGCAAATGAAATGTGAAGGAATGGCATGGAAGTGCTTGGAATCTGCGAAAGCAAATGGAATGCAAATGGACTCTCCAAACTGTCAACTGGAGAGTAGAGTCAATAACCTACTCACATATTATCACCCACACAACAACCACAAGCACAATGAGTTTTCGAGTGGCTATCATGACTTCCCCAAGAACATCGAAGGCTCTCTCTCATGCAGTGGGAGCCGATCTCCTCCTACAGGATCACCATCATGACAGCAAGATGGGTTCAACTGAAAAGGAAGCAAAGTTACAATCATATAGTGCTAAACTACACACCTACAAATAATATACACCAAGAGGAGAAGGAGGAATTCTACAGATAACTGCAATCAGTAATCAACACTCACTCCACTGCAGATGCGACATCGAAATTCGAATGGGTGGAGTGACACGAATGCCACATTGGGAGTAGAAAACATAGGAAGAGAACTCATCATGGGTTGACAAGCACTCGGTGGAATGATGAATGAGATTGGAGCACTGTTTGCAGACTTGTGCACATTCAATGATTTGATGATTGGAGGCGAGGCAGTGTGTACAAACACAAGGGTATTCACGGAGCGACATGCATTTCACCAGACACCAGACTTCATTCGAATGTGGTGGAAGTGGAGATGGATAGGCAGCCTACTGGACACCAGATCAGATGAAGAAGAGTGGGAGCAGATGTAGGTTCACAGCATTCACTATCTAGTGCAGGTAACTCACCTTCCAAATCAAGTTGAAGGATTTGAAAGAAGTTGGTGACAAACCACAGTTTAAGTTGAACACCCAGAACAGAAACTGATGGACGAAAAAATAAAGGATATCTTCATGTCAGTCAGTGGTCAGGATAAAAAAGAAGACATTAGGCAACATCCGTAAAGAAACCTGTGAGGAAGAACACTGAGACTCTGTGAAAGAGATGTGCAAATAAACCTGCATAACCGTGTTAGGGAGGAAGAATACACAAGACAAGGAATGGATCTAGACGGACACATGGGAGGTGATAGAGTAGGGAGAGAAGATGGTGGAGCGGATGAACTAGTGCTGTGCAGAGATGAACAACGAAAAGAGGAACTGAATACACCAATGAAACACTGGACGAAAAAGTGAAGAAGAGTGCACAGAAAGACAAAAGACACTTTCACGACTCGATTACAAGTGAAGCAGAATGGGTTGCAGGTAGGAGAGACCTAAAAACATTATATCAAATAACTATCTGAGAGGGGGGAGATCAACATAGATGAAACCAATGAAAGATAGTGATGGAAACTAAGTTACCAAAGAGAGATGAGAAACAAAGGGAAACGATGGACTGACCACTTCAAGAAACTCCTGAATCGACCACCAACACCTGCAACTTATCCAAAAATAACAAAAGCAGCCCAGCCACGGAACTATCAGTGGACACAAATCCTCCACCGAAGGCGGAAATCCTCAACACCATAAAGTTGTGGAAAGCCGGGAAAGCAACACGACAAGATGGAATTCCTCCAGTAGTACTGAAAACAGGCGCAGAGATAACAGCTGATATGCTTACACCACTATTGCAGAAGGTCTGCAAAGAAGGAAGGAAGGAAAGGTACCTGCCTGTGATTAGAAGAAGGGCTACCTTGTCAAAATCCCAAAGAAGGGAGAAATAAGCCTTTACAAGAACTGGCGCGGAATCATGCTGCTGTCCACACCAAACAAAATATTAGGCCGCATCATCCTGGAGACGCTAAAGGATGCGCTGGATTCGAAATTACGACCGGAACAAACTGGCTGGCTTCAGAAAGAACAAATCCTGTGCGGACCAAATTGCAGAGGTATGCAGCGCATCATCACAGAACAGACCATAGAATCGCAGCCAACTCTCTACCCCAGATTTATCGAATTCGGAAAGGCACTCGACAGCGTCGACCGAGAAGCAATTTAGCAATGGCTTCAACACTACGCTTTTAGTACCACAAAACTTTATCGACCTAATTCAATAGCAGCTATGTGATGATGCTACATGCCAAATGATCCACAATGGAAAGTTCAGTGACGCCTTTGAAGTGAAGACAGGAGTAAGAAGCAATTTGGCAATCGCTTCAACACTACGCTTTTAGTGCCACTAATCTCCAATCTCATTTAACAGCTATATGAAGATGCATGCCACATGCCAAGTAATTCACAACGGGAAGCTCAGTGACGCCTTTGAAGTGAAGACAGTCGATAGGAGTAAGACAAGGCTGTCTACTATCAACCATGATATTCCTGATTACAGTGGATCATGCAACAAACTGTGAGGAGCGAGAAGAGGGGGATATGCTGGGCCGAGGGAAAGATACTAGAAGATTTAGATTTCGCCGATGATTTATGTCTGATGTCGCACAAGCTCGAAGATCTACAGGCAAAATCCAACAAGTTGATAGAAGAGGCGGGGTAGCGAAGGAAGACGGGACTTCAAGTGAACATAGAGAAGACAGAGGTGATGAAGATACCCAACCAACGCCACCACCAACAACAACAAGCTCCAATCACAATCAATGGGAGTAACTTAAAGGAGGTAGCCTCTTTCACCTATCTAGGTAGCACCGTTTCAACTACAGGCGGTACAGATGAGGACGTCAAAGCAGCCAAGATCGGAAAAGCAAGATAAGCTTTCATTACCCTGAAATCAGTGTGGGGATCTACTGCACTCAGCAAAAAACGTGAACAAGATCTGGATTTAAAACATTAACGTGGTCAGTGCTTCTGTGATGGTTGAGAGACTTGGCGCATTACGAAAAGCCTTTACAACAAACTGCAGACATATATAAACAACTGCCTACGCTGGCTCGATACTGAAGATCAAATGGCCAGAATAATAAGAATAAGCAACAAGGAGCTCTGGTTGGCAATGAAAAAACCAAGAACCCATCGCCACAAAAAATATGCAGAAGAAAGTGAAGATGGATTGAACTGGACATACAATGAGAAGACCGTTCAGGGACATCATGCACCAGGCCAGCCCCTCGAGTGGAACCCGCATGGGAAATGACAAGTTGGGCGTCCGAAGGTGATATGGAGGAGATCGTGTGAGAAGGAAATGAAAGCTTATGAGCAGTCATGGAGCCAGGTTAAAAAGATTGCAAAGAACAGAGTGAAATGGAGACATGCTACTGAAGCCCTATGTTTCACTAGGAGCCCAAAGGACAAATAATAATAGTTATCTGATGCTTAACTGGAGCTCGAGGACGACGAATTCAAGAAACCCAGGCAACTTGCAAACCTGGATGAGGGTGCATCGATCATATTTTAACCCTTCCATAGGTCGTGGAACACAGCCAGACTTACCGTCAACCGACATTTGTCATATTGCTTGGACTGAAGGTGGTATTTGACTGCCGACCGTTAGGCGTTTCGGCAGTGTCTAACTGTAAATAGAGTATCAGGTAAGTATATAGTGTCTATCAAAGCTCTCTACTCGAACTCACACAGCAGCGTGAGGCCTTATAGAGAAAATTAACGACAACTAGTAGTGTCCGCCAGGATTCTCGATCCTCATATTATTTCATTATTTTGGAAAGCGGATATGAGGAATCAGTATATTAAGATAGTCCTCCATGTTTTTCATACGACTACGATGTTGTTGCACTAGCAATGTGCACTTCTGTATTTCCTTACAGAGAAACGTTCGAGATGAAGCTTTAGCTACGTGAGAGAATACTTAAGTGCAAATTGCCAGTGGGAGAATATCGTAGTCGTACGAAGAAAATTGATGATGGTCTCAATATACTTATTCCTCACAATCAGCTTTTCGAAATAATGAAATAATGTCAGGATTGAGAATTGAAATGTTTCCTAAATATTAAACGAAGACACATTCGGAAGTCTGAACATCTCGTCAACTCAAACAAATGAAAATCAGATAATTAAAAACACCGATTCAAGCAGTTCAGAAAGTCTTTATAAACGATGGAATTAACCCCAATTACGAAACCAGTTTCATTGCTTATACGGAAAGAAGTGCACACAATACGTCATAAAGTTGGAACTATCATAGCAAATCAGAAGCCTGTTGCTTCTAACTTAACGAAGGTAAAAACGAACAACTTTAAAAACTATGATATCTGACAACTCAATAGTCACAAGGAAAGCAGGAAAAGGCAATGTCAGAGGTCGTTTCGAATAACGGCGATAATGGAAAGAAAGCACTATATGAGCTAATATCAAGTAATAAACATTCAATCACATTAAAAAAAATAAAATAAAAGCCATGCAAATTACTTAGAGAAATGAAACTACAACTTGGAAATGCTGAATGGCCTTCATCAGCTCCAAAAGACAAACACAGCCGCTAGATTCGATGGTGTGCTAAACCTTCACAAAACGGGGACTTCCCTTTAGACCACTCATTGGCTTTACAAATTCGATAACGTATTATCTATCGAAGTACTTATCAAGAATTCTGAAACTACTCGAGTATGATATTTCTACAAATGGTAAAAATGCACAGTATTTCAAAAGTGAACCGTTAAATATGACTATGGGAGATGAAATTATAGCAAGTTTCTATGTAATTCCCTTGTTCACTAGTATGCCGATATATGAGTCTAAATATTGTAAGAATTACTACCAATAATAACCAAGATGTAATATCTGAACGTCCATTTTCAACAGAGGATATTATAAGACTACTGAGGCTATGCTTGGAATTTGCATATTTCACGTATATAAATCGAATGTACCCTCAGTCAATTAGAGTTCCAATGAGTTTACCAACATCTCCAATTGTGAAGAATCTCTAGACGAAAGCTTTGGAAGAGAGAGCTCAAAAAAGTCACCAATGCCAACCCAGAATTTGGTGGAGATATGTCGATAATACATTTGTCATTCTTAGGAAGGTAAATCAAGAGTCATTATTAGAAAACATAAATTCTATTTCAAATTCCACTAAATTCGCTAGTGAAACAGTATCTAAGGTCGGGACTCTAAACTTTTTTTAAATTGTCTTACCCAAAGAACGACCTAATTATCTGAATCCTACTCACATTAGCTCTTGGTTAACATAAATCGTATGACCTTTCACACATTTTGTTTAACCTTTTTTAACATGTTGAATACACTTGTCGCTCCGACTTATCCAAACTTCCGCTCAAGAATATTCGTCTAATCCTTCTATACATTGGCATAATTATATAATAACGATAGAAAGCGGCTTGCAGTGAAATCCAAGATGCACATTTCATCCTATTTGGGACTCAGCTGGATAAACCTACCTCTGACGGTTCAAGCGATCGGTCCTGAGTCCGAATCCCGGTAGGAACAACATTCACTGGGAGGCAGATAAATCCAACTGACTAGTCCCAAACAGGAAGAAATGGGCATCCTGGATCCCACTGCTAGCCACTATCCATCATTACTATATAATTAAAAACATTAGCAATATCGAGGCATCCGCGTAGGAGTCCATATGCTAATAGAGACCGATCAATTCGATCTAATCAACGACGGTATAATACAAGTATAATACAGGCAAACTCAGTTCTGCATATTTATTCAAGTCATTCGTGTTTTCAATTACTTCATATCGATGATATCTTTAATTCAAGCTGACAATTTTGCATCCAGCTGATCCTGGTACTCAAACGTTTTTGTAAAAATTGGTGTTAAATTTTTTTAACCTTGTAAGCAGGTGATGAGAAACCATGAAATAAAATGGATCCATGTTACTCTGCTAAAGCAGTTGTTCTTGCCCTATTTAAATTTGTGAAGGGAAAGAACTGTATAAAATATACAGAAAACCAAAACATTACGATATATATTTAGACTTACAATCGGATCATCCAAATAAAATAAACGTTAGTGTCGCAATGAACCTACTAAACAGTGAAAATTATCGTAACTGATCTAGATGAAATCTCTAGAATAAAAGCATGTTTTAGTAGAAAATGTATACCCTAAAAAGTTGTTGAACAACATTATAGTTTAGACGAATAAAACACCAAGTACTACCACTAATAGTAATAAAGGCATAACAAAATTCTCGGCGACATCTATGACGATAGCATGTCGGAAAGATACTTCTGAACAGATTAAAAGAGTAAGCGCTTCGTATGGTACTAAAGTTTGCTTTAAACCTTCAAATTCACTAGAAAAGATCTTAGTTTAAATGAAAGATAAAATTCTTAAGATGACATAGAACAGGTGTGTCTACAAAATTATATGTTGGAGACAGTTATAGACCTTTAAAAATTAGGGTGAATAAATACGAAATATCCACTGAGGAATCAAGATGAATTACAAAGTTTAGAAGAACGATAAGCAGTAGCTATGCAAACAATCAAAAGTAGACACATGATTGACTTTGAGAATATAGACATAATGGAAAAGAAGTTTTCATTCGCATAAAGAAAGATTAACTTCCGAAGCTGCTTGTATACTATAAACAGAAAAGAAGGAATAGATTTATCATCTATTTAGCAAACATTGACCAATAAAATAATTAATGATGACCTTTTCTAATTGGAGCTACAATAAATAATGACAAAAATAAAACGTATTCTACAACACACATAAACATATATACACACATTTTTACTATCCTACATATCTGATGACAAATGACAATCACAAGCGTGAACTTGTAATGACTAAATCTTAATTACTCGGATTGGATAAAAAAAAAAACCACCCAGCCTACACTCACTAAATATTTGATGTATCATCTGACTATATGTTTTGATATTAATAAGAATGAAATTTTTAACCATGGCGGGATTCGAACCAGCAAACCATCTACAGCTTACACAGCGAAATATTGATTTTCTAAACACGCTAGAATTATATTATTAAAATATATTCTGATAATGATTCAATCAGACTCTGCACTCGGCATTCGACAATTCTTCTAAGATATTCGTGAAAACTATGGTTTGAATGTTTATGATCTTGTCTTGTATTTAAAATGTTTATAACATATAATTGGAAAATTGATCCATGACTTTTTCATGACACTTAGTGAAAAGTGAAAAACTTTACATGGAATATACTGATCATCAAAACTAAACAATCCAATTTCGAATGTAATAGATTCAACACCAGTCTACATAGACATGTAGAATTTCCAACTTTCATATGATTACTGTATTGTACCGTAAATATCTTGAATAAGAATAAATATATCTACTCAAGAGAGTAATTGCCACACATACACACAAACACACACACTTTCAAAGAACAATAACCAGAGGTTAGATTTAAACACCAGAATAGTTACCATGAAATATATACAATGATGGTGATGATAGTTGAGTAAAAAAAACAAACAAACTGAATAGACTTAAGTTAAAATTAATCGAATTCAAATATTCAACTTACAGTATCTAAGCTTTGCAACCGAAAACCGTAAGCAATTCCACGTCGAGAACTATTCATATAATTACCAAATGCTAGTATAATTTCTAAGATAGCTCGAAATTTACAACTTTTTTTCAGTGCTAATGAAGCAGATCGTACAGCAACAATTTTCTATAAGAATTATAAAAAATAAACAAAATACGTGATGTGAGAGAAAATATTGAATAAAAAGAAGAAGACGTTGGTATTGTCGTTTACTTTCTTTTTCCTATACATCGAGACAACTTTATCGAACACTCTTGTTAGTAAAACTGTTTGGTAAATTTTCATCCAAAATGAGTCAGTATACATAGAGTCCTTTTCCAATACAATTTTTAAAAAAAATCATGCAACGTGAACATTTCTCATGGAAACAAAATAACAGTATATCGAATAAACAGTAAAATATACTATCCGAAACAATATGTCTGCAAAACACAAAAAACACTTTTTTCTTTAAAAGAAAAATACTTTATAAGCCTCGCAATTCATGAGGCAGCCTGAATATTGTGAGGTGAGAGATAATCATAGATAATTTCATGAATCCATTATTACTGACGGCCCAGCATGAATTCTTTACCTCTAACCTCGATCTTTGCCAGTCAACGTATTGTATGTAAGTAGTTCCTCTAACTGGGGTTCTGAATATATCAATTGACTACTTTTTTTTACTTCAGTTTCCTTGAGTCTTTCAGCTGAATTACGTCTAAACATATGGTGAAGCAATAACAATAATAACACTTCAGAACAAAAATAATTTTAGGGAACAATTTCAAGTTGGTACTCATTAAGTACTCACATCAGTTGGAGAAAAATTCAAAACCTGAGAGAACTGGAGAACTGTCTTGTCCTAGTATGGGACTCCTTGGCAGTATGCACCTACAATCCGGCTAGGGATCGAACTCAAGTCCTTCAGGTTCCATGGCTAGCACGTTACCAATAAACTCCCAAAAAACCTCCGAACTAAAATTACTCTCCAGTGCTTATAGCGTATTGCTCCGAGATGAGATTCCTGAAGTTCTAATAAGAAGTAGAGACCGGTCAGGCGGACCAAATCGCACGTTAGAATAGGTAATCATCGATGGCACTGGATCAACGTCACATTTTACCGCAAACTTACAGCAGTAAGAAAATGTGGGCTAATAGACTCTAATCCAGTAGGGTCAATAGTAATGTGCTGGCAGTAGAGTTTGAAAGCGCTGCGTTCGATCCCTGACAAAGTCATGAGTGTGCACAGCGCTAAACAGTCCCACGCTAGGAGGAAACAGCCGCCCAATTCTCCCAGGTCTTTAGTGGTTCTCCAACTTATGTCACACCGCGATCAATACCAAATTCGAAAACAATCAATATTTCTCCACAAACCCCCAAAATCGTTACGTAAGAGTTGAAAATACCTGCCGCCAATACTATGAATACACAAGAAAATGGAATGAATTAATTTTTATTAATGAAATGAGACAAACAAAATAAAAGAATGGGGTGAGACGAGATAAGCTGAAATAGGAAGTTAAAATGTGAAATTTGCGGTAGAAAAGTTCACATAATATGAGCTAAGTTAGACAAACTGGATATACAAATATCTTTGAACACATAGATCAAGTTTTCATGCGTTCATTCCCATGGTTACGGCTATAGATAAGAGTCGTAGTCGTGCTTCTTTAGGAGGGGTTGCAAGGAACATTATCTATCAAAGAAAAGGAGTGATCCAACTTCGTCTGATACCCACTATCTGCCAAATACGAAAGGACTCCAATGTTGATGGATTGATTTTGTTATTCCTTGTTAACGCGCATGCATGGATAGTCTTTACATATTAGTTAATGTATTCCAACTATTCTCATGGATTTATAACAGTTAAGCCTGAAAAGGAAGTTATGGCAAACGAGTTTTCGCTTGCATTATTCTTGTTTTGAATAATAAACTTTATTTACTGCCAGCAATATGATTACATAATCACTATTAAGTCCATATGAATAAACACACAATTTATTCGACAACAAAAAGAACAGCAAATAGATATAATCCATGAAAAATAACGTTTTAAGTTTAAATTATCGATTCCATTCAGTGTGAAAACAGTCAACTGCCTAAACTGTAATAATAATTATTGCATGCGGGTATTTTGGGCAACTTTAAAGGCCATCCTACCAACGATCGAAATAACCAATCAGGCTTCTTCATTTCTGCTGGAAAGGCAGATTTTCATAAAATAAAGAAGTCTGATTGGTTATTCCAGTTGTTGCTAGGATAGCCTTCAAAGTCACCCGGTATTTGAGATCAGTCTGTATTACATGATTTTAATGAACAAATTAATTATGGGTAACAACTAATAGTAGTAAAATGACTAATCGAATTTATATGTTTTGTTTAAACGTTTGAAATGATGTCGGATCTACCCGAGTGATGACTGAAGTTATAAGAGAGCTAAAGTGAAAAAGAGAATGAAAACATAAGAAACCAACCCTCTCTGAAGATCGTAATCGTAAGCTTTAAACTAATGCAGAAAGCCCAAAGTCAACGTAATGTGCTATTGTTATCTCAGGGCAGTATTCATCAAGAACTGACATCAGTTGGAAAACCAATGAGAACTTGTGAGCACTGGAAAGCTGTTTCATCTAAGTACTAGGTTCAGCAGTGAGCATCCACAACCCCGTCAGGGATCGAACTAAGGGTCGTCAGTTCTCGCAGCAAGCGCGTTAGTCATTCAGTCACTGAACCACACTTTACTGGTCTATAGTTTCCTACTTATGTCAATTAGCCATGTAGCGCGACTATCAACCAAGGTCTTCAGTTAACATCCACTTCACTCCCGACTGCTAAGGAGTCCCAGACTAGGATAAAAGCATCTAGGGAAAAGTAACTCTCATGTTCAAACTGACTGCTTAAATTGATTCAAAATAAGCAACTTTGTTCCTTTGAGTTAATGCAATGAAACGCAGTCATTGATCATTACTATCGTAAATTGAGGTTCATGGATATTTACTTTCAAAGTAGTGTTCATTACCGATTGACACCAGTTGAGGAACCCTTGAAAACCCAGGAACACCAAGCAGCTGTTTCATCCTAGTATGGGATTCTTCAGTAGTAGACACCCGTAACCTCACCAGGACTCGAACCCAGCACCAATCGGAAGTGAAGCGGATGCCAACTGAAGACCTTAGTGGATAGTCGTGAGTTGACAGAAGTGAGAAACTGTGAATCACTGAACTTCAACCCAGTGACTGAATGGCTTAACCCGTTCTGATTTTTTTAGTTTTTCCCCTGTGATGCTGAAACATAAGACAACTTGATCTCATGACCTTATGTGTACTCACTCTCTCTAAAGAGAATGGAAACAATACAAAACAACTCAAAAGTCACACAAACAGAACAAAAAGCGCGTTCTAGATTCTATTGCAATCTACAATTGCTATTAAACAATAGCAGTTAAACACCTTTTATAGTGATCAACAACACTGACTAGACCAATTACAATAGTCGAGTTATTCTAAGGTTACTTGAGTAGTTCTAATGTCAAATTAACAGCCATTTATCTGGATAAATTCATTTCATACAAATAAACACTTTGATGACATTTGATAACAATCAAATGAATACACACTTATGAGTACAATGAATTCATCAGAAAGTGAGCAGATTATTTACAAATATTATCAAATAACCTATCCATATTAACATTATTTTAGATTAACCCTGAAAATAAAAATTATGAAATATAAACAAATTACTTACTGAATTGACAACTTTTAAGTTATCCTCAAATGAATTCATGAATAGAATAATCTCTAGCCTAGGTCCTAAGCGTTCAACTTTGCATAAATGCAATAAAAGACGATCTTCATCTGTTAGATCATCAATAGGACGTTGTTCTGTGAATTCATAATTCAGATAGGTTTTCATTTCATCAGCAGTTGGCAATTGATGATAGATACGATCAGCAACATCTTGACTTAATTCTAAACGATTGATATCATTCCAAAGGCGTTCAGGTGTATACTTTTCTGATTCCAAATAACGCAAGAGAACACCAATACAACTGGAATATAAAAGAGAAATACAAAAAAAATTGCAGATTTTGTCAGTAGGAAAGTGGTTGTATTACAGATAAAATAGAGATACCAAAGGGATATTACAAGTATGACAAAACAACTGATACCCGTTGTACAAGTGGTGGCTATCATGCCCCACTGGCCTAGTGGATAACGCTTTGTCGTTTGAAACAATGTGTATCGGGTTCGAGTCTCAGTAAGAACAACACCAGATACATCCAGATGACGAGTCCAAAATAGGACGAAACGCGCGTCCTGGATTCCACCACTGGTCACCAAGAAGAATACAACAAAACTATAACTTCAATTCAGTAAGCAATATCACTTCAGACACTCAACTTCGAGCTGTAGCTGATAAGTGAGAGTTCATTGAACCAGAATAGATGGAGTGGGCATTTCAGACATCTGAAAATCATTACATCATATACAATACTACCAGCTAAACTAAAATACCAGTTTTACAGAATTACTTCTGGCAATTTATAAATATTAAGTTGGGATATCTGCAAGGGACTGGTTGATTTCAAGGTAGTGTTCACAGATTGAGACTGTGTGGGAAATCATTGAAAACCTGGGAGCACTGGACAGCTGTTTCCTCCTATGATGGGACTCTTCAGCAGTTCGCCTTATTGGCTTTAAGAGGGACCTAACCTAGGATATTCAGGCTTTGAAGATAGCATGCTTCCATTCAGCCACTGAGTTAGAGCGTCCAGCGGTCGGCTACAGTCAGTTCGTGACATATAGCGATCATCACCCGATGTTGTCGATGAGCGTCCTCTTAACTTCTGACTTGATTGGCCACATAGGTCATGGCTTCTTATTTGAAATTTGGGGTACCCATCAACAAGCATGTCACTACGAACTAACACTAAATAGTAATCTAGTTTTGAGGTTATCAGTAGTTCTCTAAATGGCGTGATGAAAACCACTTTGAAATATTGATTATTCATTAAAATTATAATTTATGATATGGAAAATCTTAAACAATCGTTTTCCCTATAAAAAAAAAAGCAATCGAAACATCGACATTGACAAAACGCAATACTAGAAATCAATTAAAATGTTACGATATCAATATGAGTTTAGAAGGTGGATTAGAAAACTGTCAGAAATTAGTGATCACTGAGAAAGCTTATTTTTATAAAGTGATTCCACTGTAATATGTACCTGTGACTTTGTAAAAATCTATTCTGGATTTTATGACAAGAAGACTGAGATGAAATTTAATTATGAAAAGATATATGCATTTTAATAGTGATAAGGCAACAAGTTGTGTATATGACGGTAATTGTGAAAAAGAGTATTTTCGTTTCAGCTGAAAAAAAAACAGGTGGAATCGAGGTAGAACTTCGTATACAAGTGCATTGGTACAAGTTGGTACACTTCACAGTAGTATACAAATAACAGGTGGATACAAAAACAAAGTTGTTCATCAAATGAATAGCATGTTGAAGTTATCAATAAGAATAAAATTGGAAAGGGGAAACAAATACCATGGCAAGATGTATGAAATTTTCAAAAGGATTACCTACCAGCCGACATAAAAGAATACTAATCAACATTTCTTATTCATTTCCACCCACACATGCAAGTTGTTTGAAAGAATAACGTGAAAATGCACCATGCAAATATGAGCAACTATCAAGTCAAGCTGTAATCCCGTAAGGTAGTGAATATACTTTGAGAAGGAAGTTATGTACATAACTTTATGAAGTATCCTAATGCTAAAAATGTAAAGAAATTACAGTCAACCTCTTACAGATACGTCCACAGCGTCATGATCTAGGCTAGAAAGGACATTAACATCATACCAATACCCAAAATCATCATCTTCGGGATCAAGTACGGAATTTAGTACTCGTCATGAAATATTCTTTTTTTTTAAATGATGAGATGATTTTCAGCTTTGCTTGAAACTTCGGTAAGAATTTCAGCAATGCAGAACTGTTGGCTTAAAACATAGAATTAACCTGTATGGTGTCGCTGTCCTGCATTATATTACTATTTTCAGTCACCATAAGATTACTAAGTATGTGCTCACTGTACCTTGTTAGACAAAACGTTTGTTTTTGTCGACATTCTTTTTCAACAGGCTTACCATAGCCCATACTAAGCCTTGGGTCATAAACTGCATGCATCATTATTTTCAGGAAAGTAAACAGTAAACTAGATATATGTAAAAGCCCTTTATTTCAGTGATTACTGATGTGTCTCAATGTGCTGCAGTTTTTTCTCTCTCTCTCTTTTATACCTGACTTAATATATTCGCCCAACAAATATGGAGAAGAAAATGAAGATGGATTGGATTGGGCATACACTGAGAAGACCATTTAAAGATATAATGCGCCAAGCCAGCTCCTCCAGTGAAACCAAAAGGGGAAACGATGAGTTGGACGTCCGAGGGCGACATACAGGAGATGGTGTAAGGAAGAAATGAAAGCTTCTGAGCAGCCGTTGAGCCAGGTTCAAAAGACTGCGGAGAAAACAATGAAATGGAGATATGCTACTGAAACTCTATGTTCCACTAGGAACCTAAAGGACAAATAATAATAATAACGAATTTCGTTAGGTATGCTGGAAACCTGACAGTTCCTCTTCTGAACACTTTACAGTCAGCTTGTTCTCAAATAAATGACTTATTATCTAACATTTATCAGTGATCTTTCTCAAATGGTTTCAAGCTTAATCCTTCCATGTGTCGTATTGTTATGTTGGCCTGAAATGCAAACAAGAATTGGATGAGCTGGTTCAGTCTCGTAACTTTGTAGTAATGACTGTGCTATCGTAGGAAATAAATCGGATACTAACCATCTATTTTCTGATCTTTGTTGATCATCATTTATCTAATCTTGTTGATTGCTGAAGACACTTACCGTTCCATATATGGGAACTGAGAGCTTCTAGCATAATGTCATTTCTACTTTTTCAGTGTATCATTTTTTTGTAGTTTATTTGTTCTTCTTTGATGTTCTCTCGTACTGTATTAGGAATATCATCTAAAAGAAAGTGACTATCATTATTAATATACGGGCTGAGAAGTGCACTCTACTCTTTTATATCAGTTGAAGGAAGATATTTCATTACCAGGACTATCTAAATATGGCTAGTGTTTACTAAGAATACTCAATAAGTGGTGTTGAGTATAATCCATATGGTCAAATGCAATAAGGTTTGGGAAAGTGTAAGACGATACAATTAGTTACTAGTTACTACGACAGAAACAAAGTGGAGAAACGACGAGTCAATAAGTACTACTAAGAGAAAAAAAAGCCTGACAGCTACAAATATGGTAGCGAATGTTTGTAAATCAGGGTATGGATTTCACAGAGTGAGTTGTTCTCTAAACTAGGGCTTTATTTGACAAATGTTTCCATATCATGCTAGACACCGTCATCAGTACATGACAATGTCTAGCATGAAATTGAAACGTCTGCCAAACAAAGCTCTAGATTAGAGAACAACTCATATTTTGAACAGCTACAGCTACACGTATACCACCGAAAAACTCCAGTGATAACAGCCTTAACATGACAAGTAAACCAGTTATCTTTTAGAACTAAAATCGTGAACAACAATTTGCCTATTTATTTACTAACCATCTTAAAGTTCATATTTATCATTCAGAAACAAATCAACTGTTTTAATAAATTCAATTTTAATACATGAAAAATTTCGATCTATAGTAAAGTATAAAACGAGCATAAAAATAATAAACTAACCGAAATGAAAAATAATTTTTAATTACATAATTTAACTATTCATTAATCACCCTATTTGGTATACACCAATCGATGATCTATAAAAGTCAATATGATATGTTATAGAAGTGATCCAATTTTATATCCTGTTTTGTAATGTACATGATAGTAATCAAATTCAAATAAATTGAATCTAGGCGTTATATTGTGTACTACACTTACACATACACAAACACACACACTACTTTAACACATTTACGCGAATAAGACTGTTCAAAATTCACAAATATCTATTGTGCACAAATCATGTATAAAAAGGTTACATAGAAACAAACAAACGTAATCACCTGCATGCATAGAATATATTGAAAAGGTTTTCATTGAACGAAAATAAACTTTATGATTTCCAATTGATCAACAAACTATAATCAAGACAGTGTTAGAAATAGTATTGACTCTACCAGAGCTGATGTAACTCCCCAACTAAGTGAAGTGGTCGACACATGCAACCACTTCACTCCCTATCCTTAAACTAAAAACGATCTCAGACCCGTCCTAGAGTATCACCAGCTTACATCTGACAGCAGAGAAACGTATGCTAAGCATACTCAGATTTCTGGTGAGTGTGTTGAGAAGACCCTATATTTTGTCACATTTTATCTTCACGTAGTATGGCAGTGTCGTCTGCTCACTTCAAGTGAATTGGGTAATCTTTAGGGAGAAGATCAATCACTATGAAATCAGACGTACCTAAGGTTGTGTCCATTAGTGGATCTATAACGAAATTAAATAGTAACAGTGGACAGCGGGTATCTCTGGCGAACACCACTAGTTGTCGTCAACTTTGATGACAACTCTCTCTTTAAGCCCTTAGAAGATAAGGTACATTATCATTATATTCAGTAATTTTTAGTAGTTATTTACTGAATCGTAATACGAATAATTCAGTCATTGGAATAACTTCCCACTCTTCATTTTAATCCAAACATTTATTCCTTGCGTTGATGTTGCATAAGCAGTTTACTGTAACTGCGAGCAAAACTTATCTTAAAAATACAACATTAATAAAAGGAAGTGAGTCATTTAGGGATCTTACATAAACCTTGAATCTCCTAAATACGGACTAGGACACGCAGTGTATGCTTACACCAAAGACTATTAAATGTAGCAGTAAGATAAGGAGAAAACCTTTAACATGGTTAGACTACTTGCGACATGACAACTAAATCTATGAATTCGTTCTCTCTACTAGTAATGATGATATTAGATTTTCCTCTGGGTAATTTTTTCTCTCTATAATATGTAGCACCCATCAACTTTTGCCTAAAAACAACATAGATGCAAATATATAAGGAGAAAGTTAAGTTTTATTCCATTTTGATAAGTTTGAACTTTTCTTCCCTACTCAATAAGCATACACTATGAAATGCCTCAATATGCATGATTATAGTAAACACCGGAAATCCACCACATAATTCGAGCTTCAGAAATGAATAGAAAAAGAGTCAGCAAATAGATGTATAGATAGATTATTGTCGCATTTCATTTTACAAAGTCAATAGTATCCGTAATCACTTTTAAAACCATTAATTTGAAGAAAAAAAAATTTAATGAAATATGCCGAGGTCACAAACGTGATGAATTCAGTGTTTTGGAGAACAGAATCGTCTACGTTAGAAATGTGTGTCATCATAAACCACATTCTTTATTTTAGCCCTAATTTCTCACTTAAAAAAGTCAACAATGTAGCATTGAGAGAATATTTGACTTATTCAGTTTGTAAGACATCATCTTTATATCCAAATGACAGTGTTATTCCGAACTCTAAAACGGGTTATTCATCCTTTCCTCCCTGAAGATTGCTAAGCTTTCTATTTTTATACCTCGAGCAGATATGAAAATGCTTACTTTTATACAAGAATAGTGATAGGCATTAGGGTGATGATTAACACAAATAAAATTTTATCTAATGGTTAGCTTATTTGTAGCTGAATTCTTAATAGTTTCAAGTAACAGATGACTAATGTATTTGATCACAGACATAGTGTAATCATACATTAGCATAATAACATAGGATATAACAAGACAAGAAACGTGAGAAATCCTGCTGCCTTCAGTATTACAGCTTGTATCAATTGCGGCCAATTAGTTAAATGTTTGGAGTTTAAAACGATAATACACACATGCACACCTAAACATTGCACTGTAAGAATTATTTTGAATTTTACTGCCAAGATGTCCCCTTAAAAATAGAATAACTTTAAAGTAGAGAAAGTATATTAATAATAATAGTGAAAATAATTATAGACTGTTCATCTTACAGTTACTAAAAAAAACATTTTTAATACAAAAACAACCAGAGTGCAGCATGATAGTGAGAACATGAAGATCATCTTCAACGACTAACTGGATGGACAGTTGTCAGAACAGAATAACGTCACTCTCATCCACAAGAAGCCTGGAGCCATCTGTAGTAATACGTGACACGAGGTTAAAGACTGACATTGATTCTCAGAAACTGTTGCTTAAAGTCCGGCTTGAAGTATCGCCAAATCTAACAATAGGAAGTGAAGTAGTTGAGTGCGTTGAACACTTCGATTACTGGAGGAGTCTAAGCAGCCCTAATGGGTTTGATTGAAGAAATCCCCGTACAGATACAAAAAGCTCGCTCCATCTTTTCAAACTTAGGTTATTGATAGTACCCTCATGATAAACGATTGTCTGTCAATGGCCAAGTCTACTGCACTGCTGTTCACTGTATTCCACTACGTGGTTATGAAAGTTGAGGATTCGAGGATTTAGATTTTTGACCATCTTCGCTGTCGTAGCGCCAGCCGCGTGTCGTGATAGCATCAATTCAGTATACTAAATATCAAGCGTAGACTTCTGGACACGACAGATAAATCAGTTGATGAGGTTGTGAACCTTCACTGACTGAGATGGCTTAAACATGCATTATGCATGCCTAGTCACCCTCTCACAGTCGCGAAACGCTAACCAAAGTAGGCTTAAGTTGAAAGAGGACTGAGAGTGCCCAGATCAAGACTCGGCATCAGTTCATGAAGCCACCTGGTATATTTATGAGCTATGTAGGGAGGTGAAGGCTATCTAGCTGGTGTCCTAGAGAGGAGAGGAATCAATGGTTGGAGACCCTTGGTGACGTGGTTGAAAACCAATCGAATTGGTCCATAAAGATTCACTCTTTGGATCCAACATCGCTTTCATCAGTCTATTGCGATGCTTTCGTGATATGTTGCTTTGGTCTCAGTATATTAACAATCTATCAGAATGTAAAATGTTTCTAGTATGTTTGAAAACATTTAGCAATTATTAGCCAGTAGTTTATGATTTCAGACATACATAATCCCACTTATTATACAGGGAGGCATAGTAACATTTGTGCATAAAAATCGTCGCATACGAAACAGCTATGCTTTCATAATTTAGATTCTAATAACGAGTGAAATCACTATCTCAAATTCTAGCTTGTTACTATGAGGGTCATTTTACAAATGAAAACAACTATATGGATAAGAAACTGATGAAGACGATCTAGCAATATAAGATTGCAGAATAAAATGATAGTAAGATAGGAGCTTAGACATTACTGTCTATTGGAAACCCTCAAATTCGAAGCGTAACTTACAATTAGTATCATTTCACATTATGTTACTTAATGTAAACTTAATAGAATATCAAGGTAGTATTCATCACAAACTGATATAGTCGGAAAATCATTGAAATCTGGGAGCACGGGACATCTGTTTTATCTTAATATGGGACTATTCAGCAGTGCGTACCGACGACCCCACAAGCTATAGAACTCAGGACCGTCGGGTTTCGCGGCGAGCTCATTAACCATTCACTAAAAGGTCCCAAAAGATTACTAATGAGACATATTTGAAGCCAATCAGATCAAGACAACCTCCATCATTTCAGTCAAGCAAAATGTTAACTAATCAGAACATAGCGACCTTCACCAATCTATTCAAAAAAGGGGTCAAACGATCACAACAAAGTAGCATCAGTGTACTACAAGTAAACAAAAGGAAATCAATCACATTGTTGCACACCCCTCTGAGGATGTACATCAGTGTAAGATAATAGATATACTCAGGTATGTAGATTCACTGCATTTGATTATTAGGGAAGAAAGTTCATGATTAGCTATTCATTACTCCGCAAAAATATTCATATTGAATATAAAAATTCAATGAAATTCAGTGGCCATTTACACACTCCTCATACAATAGTGTATAATACTAATTAGTTGGCCAAGTGGAATTGGATTCCAACTTGCAATCCACTAATTACAGGTTATATGTCGAGGAAGAAATGTTACAGAATGGTTGAATGTGGTGGCTTAACCTCAAAAAAAAGATTTAACAGGGGGCATCCCTGTCGGACACCACTAGTTGGCGTCAACTCACTTGACAACTCTCCACAAGCTCTGACACAGCTGAGTGAATTCAAGTAAAGATCTATGATGAGCATTATGCACTTACTCGGCACTCCCTTCACAGTCAGATATTGCTGCAACACCTCACGGTCGGCAGTCAAATACCACCTTCAGGTCAAGAAACATAACAAGTGTGAGCAACCGGCAAGTATTCCTATGTTCCAGAAGTTGTGATTGATTCATCCTCATCCAACTCTATCTGAAACTTGCCTGATTTTCAGTTTGCTGTTCCTAAGCTTCAGTTAGTAGTCATCGGATAACTATGGATCCTGGAATCTTGGGCACAATATTAGTCAAATTAATTCCCCTATGGTTGTCACAGGAATACTTCTCCCTCTTCTTATGGAATGGGATGGTCAGTGAACTGGACCAGTCTGATGGGATTACCTCTGATCCCCGTTCACTACCTATTCGATCCATCACTCTAATTAACAATTTCTTGGCTCCATCCTTGAAAACTTCGGGTAGAAAACTGTCACGTCATGCTCATATACATCGTTTCAGGTTCCATACAGCTTTTTCAACTTCAAGAAGGACCAACGTCTACGTCCCATTGAGGTTCAAGCTGGTTACTGGACAACTGAAGTGTTGCTGTGAGCCAGTTGAATGGGCTTTAAACTGTTCTGCACAACGTTCTAGCTCCCTGTTCTAGGAGGTTACCATCGTTCCATCCTTTTCGGTGACGGTTTCCCTAACCATCGTTTTCTTCTTGTCGGTATCCTTAGTAAGCCTAAATAGTTGCCAGGTTTTACTGAACGCTGATGATTTCTTTATCTCTCTCAACCTCGCCACCCACCAATGCCCGCGATCGATCCGAAGACTTTTGGACAATTAACGTATAAGTTGCTTTCGCTCTTCATTGCGATCACAGCCAGCAGCTGGAATCAGTTTTCTTACATCAATCAGTTCGGATGATATTTCGAAAATACAATTGAGCTTGCTAACCTTCAGGTATAGGTTACTAATTGTCTTTGCCTCTGTTTTTTTCAGCAGACTGAATATCACACCAGGTTTCCAATGTTCAATGCTTATCGATATGTGGTAGCTGAAAAACTGCTGTAAGTCTAGATCACAGGGTAGTCTCTTGCGCATTTTTTTTGAAGAAAAAAATGCATGCAATCGCTTAAAATAGTAACTTTATTCATAAAGGCTACAGTGTACGAATTGATAAAGGTGACGATAGGGACATATTCAGCATTCATAGAAACTAACTTACCGATGCCTATTGGAATCCATTAAAGACTTCCTTTCCACCTTTTTATTTATCCGATTATCTCTTTGATCTAATCCGTTAACTAAAGTATTACTTCCTGTGATCGACTTATTGTCCACTGACTGATTAGATAATTTGAATAAATTTTCAAATTTCTCAGTGTCTACAGTATCTAAAACAGCTTCGTCATTCATTCCAACGAATATTGTGCCACGAAGTTGTTGATTCTTCAAGAGAACCCAATTAACTAGTGGTAATTTGTATCGAGTTTGTATAGGTGGTCGTATTGAAACACCTAAATGGAAAAAACGAAGTTTAAATAATAAAATAAATATGAGAGAATAAAACTATACATAGAAAGTATTAATAATCATATGGGGTAAAACATGCTCTAACTTATTCTCTCTACATTTTTTTGAAACTCATTTAAGCTCATACGTGGACACAAAACAAAATGAATACTTCGATAGGGTTGAAAAAGAGTCAAAGGTATTTACTAAAGACAAACTCACCTTCCACACCAGGACCTGTCTCGCCCATTCCAGGTGGAGGAGGAGGTGGTGGTATACCAAAAGGTGGTGGAGGAGGAGGTGGTGGAGGTGGCGGTGGTGGTGGGGGTGGAGGAGGAGGAGCAACACTAGCAGGTGTTGCATTGACCAACTTAGTGCCACTCTCGGTTGTACCATTAATCTGTGATTGTGCTTTGACTTCTGAATTTTTGACAGCATTTAAACAGTCTTCTAATTCACGTACTCGTTCCTTCAAATTACGTTCACGTTCCGATGTGCTCTTATCTTTATCCAATAACTGAGCACGTAATGTTGACAGTTGACTATCTTGGCTTGTACGTTCATTCTGTGATGATAGTAATCAAAAGGAAGTACACACAATAACGAAGGTGAATATTATAGTTGGTCATTTCTATTACTCAGTGCACTAATTCACAATTTCACTTGCTCAGGTACTCAATTAAAAGCCACTGACTGAAATTCCCGGCGTTCACACACACACATCATATTTAATTATTTACTTTCAGTAGTACCAGTTTTGCAGCTGAGTGAGTCGTTGACATGGTACTAATAATCTGTCTATTATGCTTGTTATTTCATTCCCCCTTGAAAGCCGGTCTTAAGAAAATAGCCGTATTTACTACGTTGCTAAGTTACTACCTCCTTGCATGGTCAGTGGAGTACTTTCAGATGAATCTTACAGGGTAACCATAGTCTAGTAGGTATCATACAATAAACTTCAGTTCAAAAATACTGCATGAACAACAGAAGGAGATAAGAATATAACAACATAGAAAAAAAATTTATTTTCTTAGGACTGGGTTTCAAAGTAAACAACAGAGTAGATGAAATGAACTGATGGATAAGAAGTACCGAATAAACGTTGCTTGCACTATCCCGTCATTGATTGGACCGGATTGATTGCTGTTTATTGGCATATGGGCTTTTGTGAGGAGAGACACGCACACCCAGCCAACAAGTCCCAAATTGGACGAAGCGGTCGTCCTGGATTTCACAGCTAGCCACTATCCATCATTAGTACCATATAAACGAAATACTCAGCTGCAAACGTATCAAAATACTAAATAACATGCTGAAACATTCGGTCAAAGTGGACAAGATATAGACCCCTTGTACACCCAATAATGTTTACTAATTCATAAGTGTGGGTGGGACGGAGTATATGAAGAGAATAGAAAAGGTTAGAAACTGATGTGGATGAGTCGGAGTAGGACGTCGTGAAACGAGCAATAACGCAACCAAATACTTAGACTGGATAAGAGTAATGCGACTGTTCTCCCCGACACCTGATACTTCACTGAGCCGCGAAAATCAAAAGACGGACCTGTGACTGACTTACAGAAGAAAATTCTATTTGACAAAAAACATATGGTATTTATATACAGCTTCTACTCAGAAAATGAAACCACTAGATCATCAATCAGTTGAAGGAGAAAAGTGTTCAGTACAATTAATTTTACCACATATGGACATAAATCAAGATCTGAAACGAAAGTATTTCTACCCCAACGGCGAATGACCTTGAATGAAGATTTTCATTTTTGACCACTTCCTATCAGAAACCTAGATTCTTGAACAAGCACCAAGCAATTTTAGCTTTAAAGTTACGTTTCTTTTCACTATCGATACATTTGCAGTGGCACTGATAAGTTTTCAATTCTACTAATACTTCGAGCAAAACTATTTTCCGCGATTACATGAGTCGTTAGGATTTCTTGTTCCAACAATTAGTATGATCGTGAAGAGTACTTGTACTTCAATACATTCTCATAGGTAGAATTGAATTATGATCCTCTTAACAAACACAAGGACCAGCAATGTAATAGATACAGGATATAAATTAACAAGCAAAAGTCTTCAATATCATCAATAGATAGAAAAGTTCAAGTGAATTTTGATTTGTCGAAGATATAGCCATCGAATGACCACGATTCAACTAGTGCGTTCAAAAAGAAACAATAATCAATCCCTCCCTAGCATTGTAATAAACAACTCTGCTCTTCTTGGTGCCTTCTTCAGTCTGCCGTAAAAGCAGCACTGAATACTGTAACCGACTCCAAAATAGTGGCTAAAAAGAGCCAGTGGATATCAACAGCTTCTTCAGAATTAATGGATGCACATGAACACATCCTTGCAGGCTTTGAGTACAGTGAAGAGCGAGTGCAACTTAAAAGTAGACTGATGAAAAGTCTGCGCAACGATCGCAAACAGTAGTGGGCAGAGAAGGCTAAAGAGATGGAAAAGGCAGCGGTGATCGGTAACAGTAGACAGTTATTTAGACTTATTAAGGAGACTGGGGGGAAAAGATCAACAACAGTTAGTCAGGCTATAGCGGAGAAGAACGGATCTGTGATTCACTAGCAGGGCAGACGACTGGAACGATGGGCAGAACATTTTGAGGAACAGTTTAAATGACCTCCAGCCACCATGGCGTTGCCCACTATCCAGCCGGATCCTGAATGGGACATAGAGACAGGCCCCCCCCTCCCAACACTAGAAGTTGAGAAAGCGGTAGGTAACCTGAAACCAGGAAGGGCAGCAGGACCAGATGGACTACCTGCTGAGGGATACAAAAATGGTGGTAGAGTGCTCTCAGTCAGGTTAACGGAAGTGTTAGCTAGTATATGGGAATCAAATACGATCCCCTCTGACTGGTCTAAGTCACTCATTATCCTGGTCTTCAAGAAAGACAAGAAGTCCTCCCATGATAACCACAGAGAAATCAGCCTGACAAACATAGTATCCGAAATCCTAGGTTCTATAATTCTCCGACGCCTGAGTGGAGCTCGGGAACAACAAACCCGAGAAAGCCAAGCAGACTTTAGACCTGGCCGCGGGTGTAACGACCAAATATTCACACTGCACCAGGTCCTGGAACATAGGCATGCTTACAGACGCCCGACAATAGCTGTATTTCTCGACCTGAAGGTGGCATTTGACTCCGTCGACTGAGAAGTCTTTCGACAATGTCTGTCACTGAAAGGCGTGCCTAGTAAGTATTTCACTTTATTGTAGTCTCTCTACTCGAACACTTGTGGGCATGTAACAGCCTATGGAGAGTTGTCCAGGGCGCTATACTCATCAAGTGGTGTCCGTCAAGGATGCCCACTATCCCCATTCTTATTTAATTTTATCACAGATATACTTATGGAGGTTTCCCTCCCGTCATCGAATTACACAGACGTTGACCTGATCGCAGGAGAATTTTCGTTACACCTAGAATATGCAGATGACATAGTCCTGTTAGGTGAAGACGCTGGCAAGATGCAGAGTCTTCTGAACACTTTGAGTGGGAATTTGAGAATGTTTTGGATGCGGTTTTCACCACCCAAATGCAAATTTTTGCTCCAGGACTAGTCTTCAGCGGTTCTTCGGCTAACAATAGAGAGTGTACTGGTTGAGTGTGTTGACAAATTCACTTACCTGGGAAGTAGGATCAACCCTGGTGGGTTAGTTGCCGATGAAATCTCCGCACGCACGCAAAAGGTTCGATTGGCTTTCGCCAATTTACGCCATCTATGGCGCCACCGTGATATCCATTTGTCTATTAAGGGTCGCGTGTACTGCACAGCAGTCTGCTCTGTTCTACTGTATGGCTGTGAAACATGGCCATTGAAAGTGAAAGATATAAAAAGGCTTCAAGTGTTTGACCTCCGTTGCCTTTGAAGTATAGGTCGTATTCCGTGGTGTCACCAAGTGAGTAATGCAGCATTTAGGTGTAGAGTTTAAGGGAGAAGAGGTAAATCAGTTGACGAGATTATGTACCTTCATCGACTGAGATGGTTGGGACACGTACTACGTATGCCTAGTCACTGATTGCCTTGTCACACAATGTTGGCTGAGGTGGGCCCAGGCTGGAAAAAGGCCCGAGGTGGCCAGACTAAAACATGGCGGCACCAATGTATGAAGTCTCTGACTGTTGGTTTGAGCCATGTGGGGGGATGCAGAATAGGTGGTTGGGGTCCGCGGGAGAAGAGGAACCAGTGGTTGGAGACTCTAGGTGATATGGTTCAGAACCGATGTCAGTGGCGCAGATGTATACAAACATTATCCTCATCTTAGCGACGCTATACCGAATCTCACCATTCTGTCACTCCTCTTTCCTTTCTTCTCTTACTTTATATTTTCTTTTGACTGCATTCTCTTATCTGCATCCTTCACCTCACTACCTTTCTGCTTGATGTACTGATATGAGGTGTGGCAACTCGGACCGTTACGCAGTAATGCCTGGTCCTATGTTGATACTGATTGATTGATTGACTTTGCTCTTCAAAAAAGTCTTCTTACTTGTTTCAAGTCCCTTTAAAGACTAATTATTCAAACTTCATTCTCTTTGATATTCCAAGTAATGACAACCAACAACTAAGATTTTATAAATCTTAGGAGAATAAGCCATGAGTCTCTGGTTCAAATCTTGCCGCAGCCCAGATTTTAATTTCACCTTTAAATATCACCCAGTATTAATGCAAGCCTTATACACTATGGTTATCTCAGATAGTCAAACCGATAATCAATATGATTCTCCCCCTCTTTAATAACTTGTCTATTTAAAACAGACAGATATGAAGAGATGAAAGTTAGGTAAACAAGAACAGAAAAGTAATGATGATTCATATAGGAATACCCAAGATGTTTCATTGCCACAAACAAGTGAATATATGTGCTTCATATAATAATAACAGTAATAAACTAATCAATCAAAACATCATATATACAATGTGTCCAGTAGTAATAGATGATTAGATAGATAGAGCGTACATCGATTTCAGGGAATGGTGCACAGAAAAGCGGAAACAATGTATTGTCATTATTATTATTATTATTATTATTATTATTATTATTATTATTATTATTATTATTATTATTATATCCATCAAAAACTTATCACAAATGTATGACTGCACATGTGTGCACTGATGCCCACCCTCCACCAAAAGCCAACAGCAACAGTAGCAAAAGACGAACGACGAAAATAACATACACGATAAATAAGACATTCTTAATCATACATAAACAAAGAGTGTTGTACACAGATATGGGATACATAGTCAGTGATTCAATCGACACAAACTGTTGACTGAAATAAGATATTGGAAACCTGGTAGCACTGGGCAGCTGTTTAATCTTAGTATGCGACTCCTTAGCAGTACATACCCATGACCCTGCCCCACCAGGGATCGAACTCAGGTCATTCAAGTTCCACGACCAGCACGTTACCATCCAGCCACTGAGTCGGAATCTATTGGTCTATATTTCCAACTTCTGTCAGTTCGCAACAGACTACGACTATCCCCCAATTTCATCATTCAGTATTTGTCTTCATGGCCACCAGGTTTGCCCCACCAGTCAAGATTTCTCATCGGAACTTCAAAAATCACCTATCGAAGCTAGTCACTCCCGAACTACATTGATCTAGTGCTCATTAGTGACTAACATCGAGAGGTGATTCCTCTAGTTCCAATGAGAAATCGTGACCAGTGAGGCAAACCTGGAGGCCATGAAGACAAATACTGAATGACGAAATTGGGGGACGGTGGTAATCTGTTGCGAACTGACAGAAGTTGGAAATATAGACCAATAGATTCCGACTCAGTGGCTGGATGGTAACGTGCTGGTCGTGGAACTTGAATGACCTGAGTTCGATCCCTGGTGGGGCAGGGTCATGGGTGTGCACTGCTAAGCAGTCCCATACTAAGACGAAACAGCTGTTCAGAGCTGCCAGACTTCCAATGCTCCTCCAACTGATGTCAGTTATTGATGAATACCAACTTGGAAAATCACTAAGAACCCCACAAACCCTCCCCAGTCAGAAATTTGTTGTGAATATTAATCAGTCAGTATATTTTTATATTTCTATTTTAATACATCTAAAGCATCACAAACGGTTATTTCTAAAGTTATGAGTCACATGTATTAACTGTATGACATAAGGCATATGAAGGATGTTGGTGACAAATTGAGTCTATAAGAATATGTTCATGTGCATCAATTAATTGATATGAACTGAGATTCAATGACCATGTTTACCTTTTAAAGAGAATGAACTGTTGTATTTGACGCTATTTTTACAACAGACTGGAGATTTTGTCAGGCTTCTGTCGAATGAGTGACGTCGTAGTGCACCGATAAATGTCCAGCCTTCGTGTTATCACCATCATGTTGCGCTTGGAATGCTCTTTTTACTGTAGTTTTTGTACATCTGTTTATGCGCTCGAACCAAAGTATGATCGCCATCCAAGCATATGCTCTACAAACAGAGACAATCTTCAACCGACACTCTTTAGTGATAACTGACAGCAATATGGTCTATATGTGTCCACTGCTGACTTAAGATCGGTGGATGCCACGTCAGACAGCGTCCAATTTTACACTTGAAGTTTGAGTTGGTCAGAAATAGGTGGCCTTTTGAGCACAGTTATAGTAGGCAGTGGCTGTTATCTGTTTTTTTGGATGGGATTTCGAAAGTGCCAACCAAGTGCCTTTTTGCTTGACTTAGTCTACCCACTTGTGGACTGGAATGACCTGCTACGAAAACCCCATCTGGAAATTTGGCTTTCGGTGGAAGGCTAGACAGTTTTCACTAAAACTAATCCTTCATTTCATTCGAGGTGAAGTCAGTGGGTGCATAAGCAGAGATTCCAAGGAGATAATCGGTAGTTTGACTGTTCATTTTGGTCCTCACTGCACCAGTCAATTGGGATCCAGTCGAACAGTATACTTCCTGCCTTACAGTCTAAGGCTACAACCACAGGTTCAGGAGCTGGTGAACTACCCATCAAGTCCCCGGAAACTGGAAAAGAAGACTTCGCAGATTCACCAAACATGCTAGGTAAAGCTAGAGAATAACCTCACTCGTATCGTGTTTGCGTGTCTTACAAAAACATCACACATGCATGGCGAGACACTTCAGAGTTCTTGACCAGTAAAGCATGTTATCCAAATTAACGGAGGGTGCGAACATTGAAAGCTCCTACATGTAGTTTTTGAGCATTGTTATAGGGGAACAGAGATGTGATTCCATGAACTCGAACGTCTAATAAGAGCTGCAGAGCTGGGTGGAATGAAAGATTTAGGAATACTGACCAATAGATAAGAGTAAGGACTACAAGACACAGATTTGAAGGGTTGATAATGATCTGATGGAACTTGAGTGTTGACAAAGTTGTGAGCGCGGTTGACACTCCCTGGCTTTCCATACTATGGAAAGTTACTTTTTCTTGTGGTGTCTCAAAAATAAATCAGGTAAGTAATGGACGTACGTGACCACAGGGCCCAATCAACATCTGCTTGAGGCCAGTCACGTATGGCCTTTTCAGAAGATTCAAATTTAACTTCGGTTGCATTAAATCCAGTTAGAAAACGCTTACTGCCAGCACTGGATCGATCTTCTTCGATCCTTCTTGTCACAGAAGAAAAGGGCATCACCATGAACCACCGTTATCCACGGGAAACACCTTCCAGGTGTGACAGTCAGTTCAGCCAGCAGTGAGACTTTTTCCTCGATCCCACTTCCCCATCGTAGCGTATCTATTTACACTATAAGGCTAACTTTTTTTGTGTTTTATCACTATCTAACAGACCTTTGTGTTATGGTAGGACATGAAGCATAGCTCGTGGTGAAATGTAAATCAGACCACCAAGTGAAGGTAGTAGCCAACAATTGGAGGACCACAGTGGCAAGGATTCATCAACACCTCATCTTTACCTCATCGTTTTATACCGTATCTCATTGTTTGCTTTGACCCTCTTCTTATAGTTTTACAGCGTTCTACTTCTTAATATATCATTTTCATCTCTTTGTCTTTCATCTAGTCACCATGTATCTTGATTTATTGCTACAAGATGAAAAAAACAGACCCGTATGCGGCAATTCATGGCATCATACTGATATTAACTGACTGACATATCATCTAACTTTAATTGATTACAGAGTTGATTCTATATACAGGACATATTTGTATGGCTAAATAGAAAGCATAAAAGTTTGATTGACAAACTATCAAATGCGATATGTATTCTTATCTCAGCTTCCAAATGATAAGTACCGGAGAATAAATGAAACATTGCTCACTACGTTCGACAAAGCCACATACGCGACAATGCTGCATATATGTTATCGATCAGCAGCTGTGTATTATTAAATTATTTGGCTCGACGAAACTGCAAGTCTTTTTTCGCACAGACACGAATGATATTTTTGATATCAGGAAAGAACATTTTACATACTAGTGGATAACTTATAAAAATTCACCCACCTCTAAATCTTGACATTTCAATTCTAAAACTTGCATATTTTGTTGAAGTTGTAAGAGTTTACTTTCATATTCTGCTTGAAGTGTTGCTGTTCGTGTTTGTAAGATGATAAGATCTGATTCTGCTTGTTCTTTTTCCTGTTGAAGTACATCGCGCATTTGAGAGTCTTCAAGTAATACTGCAACATCCACTTCATTATCATTATAAGCTTCTATCTGACGTAGAAAACGATCACCCGCTTTGTCATGTATTCGCTAACAAAAAGTTTAAGAAGACAAAATAGGAATTATCGGGAACATAAAAATGAGTAGTGGTGAACTCAAACAACCTGGGATATCACACAATTTATTCTTCAGTGTTAAACTGAAACTTGTATTAACCAGACCGTCATGGAATATTGGAGCGATATTTCCTGAGAGCTTCGTAGAAATAACTGTCTTTCGAAGACGTACTTGAAAGTTAATGGTTTTCAGTTGGGGGATTGAATGTACCAAAATTATCTGGGAAAAATCCCATCACAGATAACTATCAGAATGGAACAGTCAAACAGTTGATCTTGTTCAGTAAATCGTTAGTAGTGCGTATCTATAAATTTTAAAGTATTCAGCAACTACATTGACTCAACAATCATTAAGACGTATGCCATTCAGAAACGGAGGTCACGTAATATACTAAGCATAGAAACAGTTAAGGTGCAGTTACATCGAAAATGGACTTAACTTCCTGCTTGCTGAATCTAATTCTAGGAAGAGAATACTGATGAGCCACAAAATAGGAGTGGAAAAATAACCAATGGTTTTTTTATCTATACTTCTTGTTTTTTTTTCCCTTTCCACTAAAAAAACCAGCAAAATTTCTTTTTTTTAGTGCTGAGGAATTCATTTCAAACTACAAAGTGTCTAAATTATGTATAGTAATGATGGGCAGTGGCTAGCAGTGGAATCCAGGATGCGCATTTCGTCCTATTTGGGACTCGTCAAGCAATAACACTGTAAAGTGTCTAATTAAAGGCATACAGTAAATATCTGTTCAAAAGTTAATCATGCAAATAATGAGAATTATGTTCCTTAAATGACATAGAATATTAACGGTGTATAGAAAACAGAAACTTTCATTTTGTAATAATGTGTACATGGTATTTAGCAGAAGATAAGCTTCATGCATAACTTGATTTCATATGTCGATAAAGTAATACTTTTTTTTAATGTATATATGACCTACTTCCTATTGTAATTTTGTTTGCCCTAGCCATATAATGTGACCTATGAGGGAATATAAACACTTAACATTTACAATTTATACACTGACTATTTGTTTATACATATATAAGTAACCTTAATGTATACGAATCCACTAGTGTAAAATATTACCCTTCCACTAATGATTAGCAAACAATCCAAGTGAAATAATAAAACAGCTAAACTGTATGCATGTGATATGAATTATCAGAAGAGTGGAGTAGTCCAGATAAATGGTACACGTTTTCTGAATCGATATGTCCTAGTCTTTTAAGTAGTATAAATTCTACATTAAGGAATTGTTTCTAAGGCTATATAAGTATGACACAATTTACGAGACAAACGTTGCATACGCCTACTAAATGTTCATGTCTGCAAGACACATTAACAGAAACATAAAAAGATTAGGCAAAGCATGGATACCATAAATAACAATAAGATTTAGAAGAGATTAAGCACTGTCTAAAATGCAGTGTATCATGTTGTCGCATTACATGGTTTAGTAGCTACATTAAAAACTTCATATCGGTTATATCGGTTATCCTGTAATGACTAACCCATATTAATAGATTTCTCAAAACAGCTACAAGTGATTGAATGATTGACTTTAGAGAAGTTTTCATCGTGGAATGAAAATATTTAAAGAACAATTGTAAATTAGTGAGTGTTGGACAACTGGGTTATTCACACCTCAGAACTCCTTAGCAATGCGCACCCACGACCCTATGGGGGATCGAATCCAAGATCGCCAGGTCTTGCGATAAACACGTGACAACGCAACTACTATGTCACTGGTCCACAATTTTCCACTTCCGTCAATAAGCGACATACCATAACTGTCATTTAACGCCATCGATCAGTATTCGACCTTAAACCTGACTTGGAGCACATTAAAGTGCGATAGTTGTAATTTCCCATTGCTATAGTGGGAGAAATCGCTCAACCCCTGTTGGCAGATGGGATTCTATGCAGATGTCTCAATACTGCCCGAATATTCACTACGTTTTAGTCTATTTGATGCCTAGCAGTGGAATCCAGGAGTCATCACTTGGATGTACCTTCACATCAGTGACTAATGTTATTCCTACAGACTCGAACCCATTGCCCATAGCTTCAAACAGTAAAGCGTTGTCCATTAGGCCACCGAGGCACTTTTAGTCATCAAGTAGGCAACGAGGCAATCAATATTCAATCAGTATCAAGACATCAGCAAAGGAGCACTTCTGTCACCACAAGTGGAGCAATTCGACCCAGTATAACAACAAGTATCAACAAACAAAAACAGATACGCATTGCACAAGTGGTAGCTCTCGTGTCGCACCAGTCTAGTGGATAAAGTTATGACGTTTGGGACAATGGGTCCTGAGCTCGAGTTTCAGTGGGAACAACATCACTCACCGGGGTGCAGGTGCATCCATCTGAGGAGTCCTAAATAGGACGAAACACGTCCTAGATTCCGATACTAGCAACTAAATAGTCTTGAAAGAAAATGTAGGTGTTTAGTTCAAATAATAATAATAAAACTCAATAATTACATGCAGGTTCATGCACAGTACTATTCTACCGAAGTAATGTCATGCTTCCTATGATATGGAAAATTGACTGATTATTATGCAAACTCAAGATTGTTGGTGTTTTTTTTTTATTAAATATATTTTAATGAATAAATTAATGACTAAAAGTACAAAGACATACTGATAAATAGTTGACCAGTCCAAGATGTCTGAATTCCTCTTGCAGATAAACTCTTAACATTATATCCTCCGTTGAATGCACAACTATATTGAAAAATTGCATACATGATACCTGGCAAACAACAAAAAGAAAGAAAGAAATAGATAGATGGATGGATGTAATAAGGAAGAAAATAAAAGGGAAAAACGCCATCGTAATGATCTTACTGGAGGTTTATAATAAACTATTTTGATAGTCATAATATTGATAACAATAAGAGAAATTCTTGACATATAGATCCTTAATAACAGCTAGTGATAGGGTAGGCGATAAATGGTATCCTGAGCTAAGGATTATAAAAATCCCATAACTTTAGACTAAACAAGCATTGAAAAAACTAATCTACAGACTTTTTACAGATAGCACTATGCCAATGGAAATTGTTGACATCAAAATAATTTTCTTTTAGGCCACAAATGATTTACTAGTATTAACACGATTTTCGCTAAAGAGAACTCTCCCGTTGTGATCTCTGGTATAAGTTTCATTGGTAGAATAAATTGTACGCCAAGTATGCCAATCTGTATGTAATTCACGGTGACAAACTTAGAGCGACTTAATGACCAGACAGCTTTTCCGTTCGAATGACTGGTGAAACTCATGACAATTATACACGATATCAAACTACTGAAATATCTCAGTAGTATGCCTATAACATGCAGTTAATGCTTAAATTAAAATTCACAATTGAACTGAAAGCAAACGTACTAGAAGTCAACCAATCAGGTGGCAATTCATACCATATGATGAGTAATAAATTATCCACCCAAAGCACTCAGTTTTACAGCAAAATCTAGACGAAAAAACAAACCATACCCATTTCCATTGATACAAAGTAATTAGCCTGAGAATACATTTACCTTTTGTGTTAATTATAGACGCCTCAGTTATAATCATAGCCTAGATATCACAGATTGGAAGTCAGGATATTAGGTACAGAGGTGGTTTACATACAACACCTTAGAAACAAGTGATAATGATAACAAGAACAATATTTGATAATAACAGCTGTGTAAATTATTTGAATGTGAAAATAAGTGGATAGGTATTGAGATTGGATGACTGTGTGTAAAGTACTTTTCATTTATGGGAAATACCTCTCAGGGCATAAAAGAAGAATAATTACCACCAATCCCAAGCTTTACAAATGCAAGTTTAAACATTCTCTTTGTGAATATTTACACAGAAGTACTTGATAGTTACCAACGGTTTTACAAGCATGTTAGCAAGCGAAAATGTCAATATTCAAAACACTACTGTTATTGTGAAATGATCGAAATTGCTGGGAATAGTGAAGAATAATCAACAAGAGACAAGAATTGGGTAAAAGAAAAACACAAAAATCAGAGAATGATAACTAGACAAGCAGTGAACAGTGATTTCAAAGACTAGAAACTAAGGCCATAAAAAGAGTATGTGTTGAATAAGGCTTATTTGTGAATAAAGCTTGCTATCCTCCCAATGGGGGATAAGAGCTTCGCCAATGCACAGAACATGAAGACATGATTTTTATAAGTTTTGTTTTCATTTTATGGACCATTTTTTGTCTTGTCCAGATAGAATGACCTGTGTTGATGTATCCAATCAAACTACTTCCCACTGCGATCCATTGCCACCCCTTTGTAATTATACAAGATAGTAGTGTTAAACTTTTTTGGGCAAAACTCCCATTCAACGACCTAAATAAATTTAGCTCCAGAAGAGTAGGCTAATTGATACACACACACGCACACAAAATTGGTGAGGTGCAACAGTTTATGATTACAAAATATTGGGTAGCCCCAGAGGAATGCCAATCTCATTATCGAAAGAGCTTGATGCCCCCCACCTCCTCTTCAACTTGCTACCATGTTTGAAAAACCACTACTAACTATCAAATATTAAAAAAGTATTTATCACGGACTGACATCAGTTGGAGAATCATTGGAAACCTGAGTACACGGGACAGCTGTTTCGTCCGACCATGAGACTTCTCAGCAGTACGCGCCCACGACTCGGCTAAGGATCGAACTTCACTTTGACAGCGAACGCGTTAACCATTGAGCCACTGGATCGGAGTTCAACGGTTCACAATTCCCTCCTTCAGTCACTTCACGATACAGCGCGACTATCACCCAAGGTCTTCAGAAGGCATCCGCTTCCCTTCCAACTGGTTGAGCCCACAGATCACAGCTTCTCATTAGAACTTCAACATATCCACCTCGAAGCATTTCACTCATGAGTACTACACAATAATGTGTTTTAAGGTCACTGGGGATTTTATGTTAAAGGTAGCATTCATCACGGACTGACATCAAATATTATACACAGATTATTTTTAAAAGGGCATACATTTACGAATATGCAGCTTGAAGGATTTTGTAGATAACCAATGTAACTCATTGATCATGTGTTAAGCTATTCATCCCATCCATTACGTCATAGCTAGTGATACCAGACAGGTAGGAATAGAATAGTATGAGGGGATGTTTTCGGGCAACAAATAAAATATATTTATCAGGTGGTGCTCGATATTATTTAAGGGGACAGAAAATCCGACCTATGAAATCAACCAAAGAAACATGACTGACACAAAGAGGCGGTAATCATGCTTAAGTTTCTCAACCAGTTTCTCATTGAGACTAGCTAGATGCTGCACAACTATGAAATATGGAATCTCAAAAAATAGGTTGTTTAAGGTGATACCAGTGGTGCAGGTTTCCCTACAGATTTCTTTTTCACTTTTTACAAATTCAGACAATCAGAGATTGAAACTAACTCAAAGGTTGTAGTTTGCTCTCATAACCCAAACTAACTAATAGGTTTTTAAAGAACATTGATACTGACAAGTGAATTTTATAGGTTGGTTGTCAAGATGAAAATTCCAATCACCTAGAGCAAATATCTTATACTGTCTCTAGAACAACTAGACGTATACCTTCATCTTTTATATCCTCCTCGTATATTGAATTCTTTTTTAGTTTAAAATAAACTCAGTAACCACATACAAGTTCGAACACTAGGCATTGAGTTATATCTATTGTATGAAGGTTAATGATATTGCCTGATTACTCAGATCATGGTAGGTGGAGCGGTGTTCAAATCTGTGACCCATTGATCAAAAGTCAAGTGGTTGGACTAATGAACTACAGCTACACTACTCACAGTTAAACAAATGATTTAGATTTTACCATTTGTAAATCAGTAAACATTATATAAAGTGATTAGTATCATACATATGTCCAATCAACAAGTGAAAAATACCAGCTGTAGGTTTGGCATTTCTTGCACTATACACTTTGATGTAAATAATTACTTCAATTGAGCTTTCGTTTAAAATTGAAACTGAAATTCAAATAGAAGCCTAAGAAATAACAAAAAATACTACAAATTGTAAAAAAAATCCTATTCAACAATCGATATATTAAGCAGAAATGATGATTATTACTAACATGGCCTAGAGACCATGGGGTTAGTAAACTGTCAGAGAATAGAACAAACAAAGTACTTTAATAAGTATGGTTGCAATAAAGAGCTTCTTCCTTACTTGAGATATTACCAGGAAAACGTCTAGGGATTTAAGTTTTTGTATTACCAAGACGCTTGATAAATGGAATCCCGCCAGAAGCACTGAGAACAGACGCTGGGACAATAGCGGACATGCTCGTACAACTGTTGCAGATGGTCTGGAAGGAAGGGAAGGTACCTGCAGATTGGAAGAAAGGCTATCTTGTAAAACTCCCGAAAAACGGCAACCCAAGTCTTTGCAAGAACTGGCACGGAATCATGCTCCTGTCCATCCAAGGCAAGCAAAATATTATGCTGCATCATCCTGGAGAGACTTAAGGATGCGCCGAATTCAAAACTACGACCGGAATAGGTTGACTGAATTCATGAAGTACAAATCATGTGCGGATTAAATTGAAACGCAATGCCGTGCATCATCATAAAACAGAGTAGAGAATGGTAGTCAACTCTCTACCTCAACTTCATCGACTTTGATAACACCTTCGATAGCATCGACCGAAAAGTAATTTGGCAGGTAACCTCTTCAAAAATACGGAATACCACAAACCTTTATCAACCTTATTCAACAACTATATGAAGACGCATGCCACATGCCAAGTGATCCACAATGGAAAGCTCAGTGACGCCTTTGAAGTGAAGACAGTCGATAGGAGTAAGACAAGGTTGTCTACTATCAACCATGATATTCCTGATTACAGTGGACTGGATCATGCAACAAGAAGAGAAGGGGGGGATATGCTGGCTGCACCGGGGAAAAGAACCTAGAAGATTTAGATTTCGCCAACGATGACTTGTGTCTAATGTCACACAAACTTGAAGATCTGCAGGCGAAAACTAACAAGTTGACAGAAGAGGCAACGAAGACAGGACTTCAAGTGAACGTAGAGAAGACAGAGGTGATGAAGATACCCAACCAACAACAACAACAACAAGCCCCAATCACAATCAACGGAAGAAACCTAAAGGAAGTAGCCACTTTCACCTATCTAGGCAGCATCGTTTGAACTACAAGTGGCATAGACGAGGACGTGAAAGCCAGGATCGGAAAAGCAGCAACACAGGTGTTCATTAACCTGAAACCAGTGTGGAGATGTTCCGCACTCAGCACAAAGCGTGAACGAGATCCGGATTTTCAACACTAATTCAATCAAGTCAGTGCTTCTATGTAATAGTTGAGAGACTTGGCGCGTTACGAAAAGCACTTCCAACTAACCACAGATATTCATCAACAGCTGCCGCCTACACTCACTCAATACTGACACTGAAGATCAGATGGCCAGAATAATAGGAATAAGCAACAAGGAACTCTGGCCTGACAACGAAACAACCCATCGCTAAACAAATATGCAGAAGGAAGTAGAAATGTATTGGGCACACACTGAGAAGACCATTCAGGGACATCACGCGCCAGGCCAGGCACTCGAGTGGAAATCAAATGGGAAACGACGAGTTGGGCGTCCGAGCGTGACATAGAGGAGATCGTGTGAGGAAGAAATGAGAGCTTGTGGGCAGTCGTGGAGCCAGGTTCAAAAGATTGCAGAGAACAGAGACGTGCTACTGAAGCCTTATGTACCACTAGGAACCCAAGGGACAAATAATAATAATGTTTAACAAAATAAATTAATAAATCTAATATAAATATATGAATCCTATGAAACAAACCTACCATAAAATCCATATTATAATAGTCTGAAGATTCAGATTCATGTGAGAAAAAATAATGCGTAAGATATTCAAAACGTGTTGATTCTCCGACTTCTTTTTTGAAATTATCAAATGCATTCAAGACACGTTCATGACCACCAGTAATTAAGCAGACAACAGTTAAAAGTTCAAGTACTAAAGTTTTTGTTCTGAAAATATAAGACGAAAATATCAACAAAAATGATAATCAATGACCACTCACTCTACCCCACAAAAAAAAGTCAATCAAGATAAAAATGTAAATAAAACTTTTACATTGGATGATGATTGAAGATGAAATAAAAAAAATTTGGATAGCCGTCAGATTCGAACCACCAACCACCGGGTTTTCGGCCCTATGGTTTATCAACTGACCTACGAGGTCCGACTGCTGACCAGATTTTTATTTTGCTTCAATCATTAAGGATTTTGCTCGACTACAATATGAATTCTTGACGCCTTACTACCGCTCGATCGTATTCACACTAGCTGCTGCCTAGTCAGGAATTCTCATCTTAAACCCAGTGGCCGCTGGTTCGAATCCGGTCGCGATTTAAATTTTCATTCCACTTTCAACCACCACCCAGTATAAATACTAGTCTGTCAAGCAACAGCTATTTCACACAGTCAAATGATGAAACTCATATACTATGACAGAAGATAACCCAAAAATGAACTAAATATAGTTTGATTCTTGAAATGACATAAAGAAGAAACCCATGGAACGTTTAACACATGGTCTGAGGTATTTTTGGAAACCCATGCTCCATACTGTATCATCCGTCAGGTCCTAAAAGCCATCAATAAGTATTTTTGTAGCGAACTATATCATGAGTTTCGGTTCACCAGTTTTAGGTCGATTCCGACTTCTCCTTACTGGCATGAACAGTGCTTATTTGAGTCGATACACAATTATGCCAGATCCTACAGTTTTGATATTTGTCAGTTTATTTCATCTTTAAGAAGTAGATGAATATATATTGAAGGAGTAGTTATGAATACATTTTGTCAGTAATGGTAAACTTAAGAAATAAACGAAAATTTACTGAAACACATTTCCCGAAATTTACATTTCATTTTTTATGTGAACATACTGATTGATATTGAGTAATCTCTAGTTGTCCATATATTTCACTGGTACACTTCCTTTTTGTGCATTTTCCCACTTCAACTACGCTTGGTATTCACTAAGATATATGACTCAATTACTTTAGTCTGTACAGGTTCGAAACCTTATCCCGTGGCAAATCTTCCCTGAATATAGTTCATCCAGTATAACTGTTTTTATATCATACTGTCATTGATTGGACCGAAATGGTTGGTCTCTATTGGCATAGGGGCTCCTGTGCGGATGCCTCGATATTGCCTGCGTCCTAATCATATTTATGATGGGTCGTGGCTAGCAGTGAAATCCAGGATGCGCATTTCGTCCTATTTTGGACTCGTCAATAAGTGGCTATCGTGTCTCGGTGGTGTAGTGGATAACGCCCTAACGTTTGAAGCGATCGCTCTCGAGTCCGAAACCCGGTGGGAACAACATCACTCACTGGGAAGCAGGTACATCCAGCTGACGAGTCCCAAATAGGACGAAATGCGCATCCTGAATTCCACTGCTAGCCACGATCCATCATAAATATAGTTCATCCAGGTGCATTAAGTGTCATGGTTGTATCAGAGCTGAATACATTACCCCCTGGAAAAAGACTGCTGCTATCGATAAAAACTACACAGACACAAATCTCTGTGGTTGCTATAGTTGTTTTTTTTCAAGTAGCTAGCTAACCTCAAGCTGGCTTTTGAAAAGCGCATCCCACAATCCAACCCACTTGATCAACATCCTTTTCAACAGTCAAGTTAATTTTATATTGTCTCAGCTAAATTAGTCTACAAACGTTTACCTGGTTATTATGATGTTTTTAATTGGATTTTTGTCATTTTTACTGAAGATATGATTGTCAAAAACTGAATAAAAGTTAAAGAGCAAATCATCAACATTAATGCAGAATTCAAGCAGTTAACACCTGAGTTTTAGTTAACATAAACTGGATATTTTATTTCAAATGAGACTATATGTTATATCTGCGTAGGTGGGCAATGAATAGAACTGAAAACCTAGATAGTGTCACGATTCGAACCGGACTTGGAGGTTGTCAGTTAGGAATCTTCCATGACTTAGATTTTCACTTCAACTCCAGTCATTTACTCGATTGGAAATAATTATTTCGTGCAAGTAAACACCTAAAATACAAAAATATTGTGAGCGAATAGTTGCTTTCCAACTACTTGTCAAAGGAATCAACAAGATAAACTTACTGATAGCTTGGATGTAATAGACATAAGGCAATAACATTCACAGCACGAGGATGTTCGAACACCATTGAACAGCCCCGCTAAAACCAGAGAGAGATGGAAAGCAGAAATTTTAATTTAATTCGGGAATTCAGTAATATTAAATTTTTGCACAGTCTTACGAAAACGAGTATCAAAGATAAAAAGTAGTGGGATGAAATTGAAAGAGCAACATACTGGAATACTTTAAACGCATTATTTTTTTGACCACATGACATGTGAAAAAGATGACCAATACATAAAAGACGCAGCATAAAGGAAGTCGGAGTATGAAAACTAACAGACATGAGTAGAAATAAGTTCAAAGCCTCCACTGTGTTATGATATAAGAAAGGAACAACAAAAACTTTACTTAGGATTCTCAACAAAGCTGGAATTAGGGTGGCATTTAAACCTACAAACTCATTCAGAGATAAACTTTGTCAGCTTAATGATCCGATACAATAACATAACCTATCAAATTCCATGCAATGACTGCGAGGTCAAGTACATAGGCCAAACTAGCCGGTCGGGGTCAGTTATATTTTATCGGAGCATATACGTTTAGCTAAATATAGAATGAAACTCCAACAGGATAAGTAATCTAGAAAAACACTCAGCAATTCCAATGTATGCATTAACACAACCATACACAATAGGGTGGGATAAGACCATTGTACTTAATTCCAATATAGGTGGAGAGAGGGAGGGATTGGTTACTGAATCTTTGTTCATCGAATGAACACCCAACACATGTAATAGGTATGACGCAACACCTATGCCAGGGATATGGAAAATTTTACTACCAATAGAAACATGATATGAGGTGACAGGACTATAAACATCAGATGTCGAAAGTAGTGTGATTACACTGATATGATGATAAGCAATAATTTATGCTCGAAACATGATCAAGTAAATAATACTGTATCACTGGCCTATATATCAAATAAACAAATCTAATATGGAATTTCTGGCAGGATCTCTCGGAATGGCACGAATACGTTTTTACACATCTTATATGACATTGCATAAAATCAATTGCCGTAGCACAGATTCACTTACTTCCAGTTTACCTTAAGATCGGGAACAACTTGTTTATCTTTAATCGTGTGTTTCTCTATGTTCTTAACCTCTCTCTCGTCAAACTCATTACAGATCAGTTTCTTTTAACTGTTTCTCCTCGCACAGAAAATGAATATGGTAACCCTAAACGATGTGTCTTTGTGGGTATTTCTCCACCTTATCTGCTCGTTTTAAAGTCATAATTAGACTATAGTCTACGCACAGATTTTATTACGGTCTTAAAATTGAAGAACCATTAAAAGCCTTAAGGAATTTTGCCGATATTCAACTCCGTTTCTGAGGTTCAACAACAGCAAGCATCCTTAACAACTTGGCGACTCATACCAAGCACTCTTTTATTATCCAGCTTACTGTTTCTGCGGATTATGATGTTGGAACCTATTGGTATGCACCAACTAAAGTGACCCAAAAGACAGTGTAAACTTCCTCAAATATTACTACTGTATACTTCCTCACTCCAAACGTTATACGACTCACATGTTATGACTTATTAAAACTTTGGGTAATTTATTCCCTCCTCTTGATTAGAGTCCTTCAGATGTGAAACTGTTCAAAATTGATCACAATGAAACAAACATAATTAACACATATCTTCTAAAGTTTATGAATATTAATACTTCATAATTAATATTTACTACTTATCAACATTCTCCTTTATTTCAACTGCTAATCACCTCTTTTGATTTTCATTCACTACGGTTCTATTTGAAATGACATCCTTTTGTAGTAAGTAGCTTTATGCTTATTTGTCTGTTTTATTGAGAACCAGACTTTAAGTTCATATGAGCAGTTTGATTGGTTTAGTATATTTGAATACAGTTTCAGTCATTGAGTCATTGAATCTTAGAAAAGCTTCAAAGCGCTAATCACTGAATCTTATAAATAGGTGGATTAACTACTACTTACTAATAGCGAGACAAAAAAAACTGAATTTCACTTACAATAAAGGTAATGACGGTACAGATGAATTTAAAACTGATGGTCAATGTATCATAGCGCTATATATATATATATATATATATATATATATATATGAATGAATGAAATAGTTTGACGTATAACTAAGTAAATAACTAGACAGTAGAAATGAAAAAGTGCATTTTTAGCAAAGTTGGTCATAGTTTAATTCAATACCGATGAAATGTATAGCAAATTACAGTAAGCGTGACAGATAATAGAGTCAATTACATCCTCAGTGGGCAACAGTGACGTTGGATGTCCTTTCGACATAACAGCTATTCCTCCCACTACAGACAATATGCTTTAAATATTTAACAGTGAATCAACAGAACATGCCTTATTGAAACAGTGCCGGTAACAACGATGAAACAGTTACACCAACAAAACTTGTTCAACGCATTTCTACCTCACTGGACAAAGAAATATACACTGAAGTTCCGTTAAGTCATAGAAATCCGACCTAAGTGACACTTTGAATCACAAATACTCAGAATTTCACAAATTAAATATTAAAGTGAAAAAGGTTATAATAACTAACCTGATTGTTAAGTAAGGCTCGAAAGCACCGAACGCCTTGATGAAGACTATCTCTGATTGACTCAGATATATGTGGAATATTTGGAGAAGAAGAAACACAATGACGCTTTTTCTTCCTTAAGCTAGAACACCAGAATCCAGAGTCAACCTTATCGCTCTCACGTATATCTTCACATAGATCATTTAAAGAAATCGCCTGATCTGAACTCAGTGATCCAAGAAGAGCAGAACGTTGTTGTTGTATACTATCCATTGAAGGTCGGAAATCAGCCCTTAAATAAAGATATCCCAAAAAGAAAAATTATACAAATGAACATGAAATCAAACATATCCTAGTTAGAGCATGCAGACTTGAAAAGAATGGCGAGAAGAACATCATACATCCATGGTTAAATGATTCTCTTAACAGAAAAGAAAAAGTATTGTAAGCAATACACATATGAGCAAGAATGCTAGTGATTTTTTAAGAGATAATTGAATCAGGAGGTTTTGTATGATTTAAACAGTAATTAGACTTTTAGAGACATGATCACATGCGTATATAAAAAGATTTGAAGAAAGATAACCATTTTAAACATTACTTATACATTTTGACAGTTTATCTGATCTGTATCAATCTATTCAACACTGACTGTTAGTTAAATGTAAGCATTTGTTGTTGTTTCTCAAAATTATCACTTAGACTCGAAGTCAATACATACTAAATTTACATTTGACTATCATACACTTAAGTGGCCCAAAGGATAAAATTTATTCGAAATAACAGAGGATAACACCATCCAGTAATTATATGTTTCTACTGATAAATCCCACATTGAAAAAAATGACAATGAGATTCGATTACTACACTAAATATCGTTGGAATTTAATCTATACTAGATTAAAGACAATAGCAATGATGTTCGACATAAGAGGTCAGAAAATTTCAGTAATCCTGAAGACATTGGTAGATAAGGTGTGAGCACAATGTGCTGTACTAACACTCAAGCGATAGAAGAAAACGAAACTGAATTTATCAAAAGTAGAAATAGAAACTTTGAAAAACCATCAGAATGACAACAATTTGTTAAATAAGATAAAGGTAATTCAACAGTAGTGTTATAAAAATTTGATTATGTTCAGAAACTAGCTGTCTGACTGACTGATTGACTGACTCGCGAAATCAACATAAAATCTCGTACACAGATGTATCGACTCAAGTTGCCGCATATCACAGTAGTATACAAAGAACATGCGAATAGGAAAACAGTGATATCATAGAAGACAAAGTAGTGCGAGAGAATAAATAATCTGAAGATAAAGGTTATTGTGAATATTCAAGCTTTAGAAGATGTCAAAAAGTGAATACATCTGCTCCATTGTGATCGATTTTCAGCCATGTCACCAATAGTCCTCAATAAATAATTCCTTTCGTCTCGGGGACCTCAAACAAGCAGTCTTCATTTCCCTACACGACTCAGAAAGTCAGCGAACATATAGAGACAGGACCACAGGAGGACAATAAGAAACTAAGAAACACTATTATGAATGAGGTTTTAAAAAAAAGTTGCAGTGGATCTAATATTCGGAATAAAGCTCTTTCCAAGTGGGTTGAAATGGTTTAATCTAATGCCGAAAACTAATAATCCCAGTAGAATGTATGGTACTATTAAAACTCATAAGCCAGGCTATCTTATTAAACCCATGATAGATTTCAGAAACAATCCTACTAAAATCACCAATCAAGCATCTTTATCTTATGACAAACCACCTTTTCAGCACAAATAAAGATAACTGATCGGTAATTGTAGCACTTAGTTACCAGACTGGTCTTTGAAGTCATTTAACAATTTACTTCAGTAAATTAACAAGCTGGGTTCAAAATTACCACCAGAACAGACTGGCTGGATTCAGAAAGAACAAATCATGTGCGGATTAAATTGAAACGCAACGCTTTGCATCATCATAGAACAGAGTATAGAATGGTAGTCAACTCTCTACCTCAACTTCATCGACTTTGATAAGACCTTTGACAAGGTCGACCGAAAAGTAATTTGGCAGGTAACTTCTTCAAAAATACGGAATACCACAAACCTTTATCAACCTTATTCAACAACCATATGAAGACGCATGCCACATGCCAAGTAATTCACAATGGAAAGCTCAGTGACGCCTTTGAAGTGAAGACAGTCGATAGGAGTAAGACAAGTTTGTCTACTATCAACCATGATATTCCTGATTACAGTGGACTGGATCATGCAACAAACAGTGAGGAACAAGAAGAGGGGGATATGCTGGCTGCACCGGGGAAAAGAACCTAGAAGATTTAGATTTCGCCGATGACTTGTATCTAATGTCACACAAACTTGAAGATCTGCAGGCGAAAACTAACAAGTTGACAGAAGAGGCAAGGCAGCAAAGACGGGATTTCAAGTGAACATAGAGAAGACAGAGGTGATGAAGATACCCGACCAACACCACCACCAACAAGCTCCAATCACCATCACCATTAACGGGAGAAACTTACAGTAGTCTCTTTGACCTACCCACCTACCTAGGCAGCATCGTTTTAACTACAGGCGAGGATGTCAAAACCAGGATCGGAAACGCAAGATACGCATTCATTAATCTGAAATCAGTGTGGAGATCTACTACGCTCAGCATAAAAAACAAGATCCGAATTTTCAACACCAATATCAAGTCAGTGCTGCTATATGGTTCAGAAACTTGGCGCGTCACGAAAAGCACTCCCAACAAACTGCAGACATTTATCAACAGCTGTCGACGCTGGCTCGATAGTGAAGATCAGATGGCCAGAATAATAAGAATAAGCAACAAGGAACTCTGGCCTGACAACGAACCAACCAAGAACTTATAACCCAACAAATATGCCATAGAATAAAGTGGAAATGGATTGGGCATACACTAAGAAGGCCGATTGGGGACATTACGCGCCAGGCCCTCGAGTGGAATCCAAAAAGGAAACGACGAGTTGGGCGTCCGAGATGAGAGTGACATGGAGGAGGTCATATGAGTAAAAAAATGAAAGCTTGTGAGCAGTCGTGGCGCAAGGTTCAAAAAAATGCAGAGAACAGAGTGCAATGGAGGCGTGCTACTAAAGCTCTATGTTCCACTAGGAACCCAAGCGTAAAATAATAATAATATTAAATTAACAAGACATGAAAACTATTTAGGCTTTTCTGGTATAAAGTAATACATAAGCGATAATAACAAAATAGATTTAAGTATTCTTAATTCGAGTAACTGGATCAAATCTTTCATGAATCAGAAATTGTATAAATCACTCAATAATCATGTTAGTTACAGTGCTTATTAAGAAAAGTAAACACAGGCATATTTATAGTCTACGAACAGTTACATATTACCACAGTGCATGCATTATGTGACTTACGATAAAATGGAACATTTTCTAAATCTTTTTAAACTATTTACATTTAGTAACATGAATCAATCAGTTAGAATTCCGCTTACCTCATTACCATATGAATTACTCTGGAAACATAATTAACTAATGTGTCTAAACCATTTTGATCAAGGAAATCATAGACCCATCTAAAAGTAATTTTAAATGAAAACAACTAGAATTATTTGATAACATACGCTACATTATTTGTTCGTAATGATATTTCTGTCGCCAATAGAATCTCTTTAGCTTGTTGAGCATCACTTTTACGTGGACTCTAAGCAAATATGATAAGATGAATACGAATCCCACCTTTGTCAATGTTGAACGTCCAACACGTAAACCTTTAATTAGGCTAACATAATGGAAAGCGGAACATTTCGGATTTTTTATAGCCTGCAATAACAATAACAAAAATCATAGCAACTTACATAATTCTCCAATAATTGACGTTTTTGATCATCCGGTAGTTGTTCAATACCCTTAGCTTTATCCGGATCAACATCTAACGATTGTATGAAATTTGCCCATTCATCTTCATATTTAGCATTATTTTCATAATTCATGATTAAATCGATTTACGAAGTCATTCGAGTCCAACACCTTTCAATGAATCTGATAAGAAAGCGTTTAATACACATACCATATATATACATTGAAATAAAACATGTTGATAAGTAAATCTTCAGATAAGTCATACAGTTAATGCAGCTTACAACGTGATGACTCGGTACATAAAATTTATATCCCAAACTTTGAGATCGATCTAAATTTGTAGTATGATTTAATACATTTGTCACTCCACGTAAGAATCTACACCTTAACATGAAGCTGAACACTTATTTCGTTAACCACATGATACAGATATAGTGACTATATGGGTGAGAGACCACCTACATTTCTTATACACTACAGTGGCTTAAATAGGGGAAGACTTCTCTGGTACTTCAATTAGTAATGAGCAAATGAGAAGTGCAGCTTTCATACTACATTAAGGATAATGAATGGCAGCAGTACCTAAAATAATTTCAAAAACTCTGCTGAGTAGGAAGAATTAATCAATACAACTCTGATTAGAACTAGGGTTCAATTTCTTCTGATTTTCAATTAACATCCATCAATTTAGTAACTACTCTACTAATATAGAGGTGAGACTTGGGCACTGTGGTAGATTTTAAATTTATTTTAGTCTGCTTATTAGAATTGTAACACAGTGAAACAACATTATATGAATATAGACAGTAAATTATGTCCGAAACCCTATCCAGTAAATAATACTTTCACTGTGACAATTTTAGTAAGCAGACTAGAGTGAAACTAATTCGCCAGAGACTACAGACCGAGAAATAAAAAAGATGAGTAAATACAGCTTCTATTCCATAGTCTTCTACTGGTGTCCAGTGAATACTGAGTTGAGAAGTCATTGTTCTATCGTTAATCGTATCGCGTCAGAGCATTGCATCGACATATATACCCTAGACTATAACAACTATCACTGTGACAATTTTAGTAAGCAGATTAAAGTGAAACTAATTGTTATGATACTTGTAATTTTTCGTTGCTATACAGGGTCGAATTCCTTGACCTCTGGATGCAGGTACATCCAGCTGACGAGAACCAAGTGAAACTGTTTCACAGCTGATGTTACATATACCACAAGAGGATTTCTAAGTGAAATACAGTATCAGTGATTTAGACCAACCTGATATATTTAAATGTGTGTCATCTGAACTGAAACTAGTTGGCTTAACCACCGGTGGTAGGTTGTGGTCGTCAAGGTCGGGTGAAATTAGTTGTCAGAAGCAAAGAAACCTTGAATCAACGACTTTTTAAGTGCAGATTTTCAATTCGGACCCAGTAAAGAGAGTCAAGGAAAGCTAGCTGGGTAGTACATCCGGCTACCCCACCTTAAAAATAGCTGACGCAATGCAGTACAACAGATTACTGTCCACTGAAGATAAGAAAGTTTTGGAAATCACCCTTTACACATCCTACCCGACGAAAAGACAATACGATATCAGTGATTAAGGTCAACCAGTCAATGGTTAGAGGATAAATCATTCACTGAAAGTTAACTGAGGGCAAGAACAGTCTCAGATGATATAATATGTGATAAAACTCAATAAGAATGGATAGAACAGACAGCAATGAAAAGTGTTGCATACCTAACTTGATGCCACTAAATAACTCTTAGAAAACTACGAAGATCTGATTTGTTTCTCAAAGCACTATTTGACAATGTCATGGATCAACAAAAGGTTATGAAATAAAACAGAATGCCACTGATAAGCAGCTGACAAATGTTGAAGGTCTATTTATCACTACTCAACGAAAAAGCAGAAAGTTATGACCAAGTTTAGTATAAACTGTACTATTAACGATTTATTGAATATAATTAAATGTCGATCACTAAACGACACGAATAACAACACTGAAATAAAGATCATTCCATGCAATGAGCCTACAAAGTAGAAGCACTGATGTGCCTGATAAGTAATCCAAGCTGCAAATGAGAATACCAGTTGGTGGTATTTACATTTTTAAACTGCAAATTCACAATGCCGTAGATAAATAGTACTATCAGGAAAAACCCCACCAGTCTCTGAAACAATGAGATAGACCCCCAAACACTAGGAGAAGTGGAGGAAACTGAGGCAAAACCTGAAACGAGGAAGGGCAGCAGGACCATACAGACTAAACCCTGAAGTATACAAGGATGGTGGTAGGGTGCTCTTAGTCAAGTTAACAGAAGTGTTAATCAGTACACGGGAATCAAATACAATCCCCTCTGTCTAGTCTAAATTACTGATTATCCAAGTCTTCAAGAAAGGCGAGAAGTCCCCTCGCGACAACGACAGAGGAATCAGCCTGACGAACAGTGTCTAAGATCCTAGGTTCTATAATTCTCACACACCCGAGTGGAGCTCGGGAACAGCAAACCCAAGAAAACCAGACAGGATTTAGAACCAGTCACAGGTGCATAGGCCACATATTCACACTGCGCCAGGTTCTGGGACGTAGACACGTTTACCGACGCCCGACAATAGTTGTATTTCTTGACCTGAAGATGCCACTCGACTCCGCTGATCGAGAAGTCTCATGGCAATGTCTCTCACTAAGACGCGTGCTGAGTAAATGCATCACCTTATTGAAGTCTCTGTACTCGAACACTTGTGAGCGTGTTAGAGACTATAGCGAGATATCCAGGAAGCTGTGCTCATCGAGTGGTGTCCGTCAAGGGTGTCCACTCTCTCCATTCTTACTCAGTCTTATCATAAATATTCTTATGGAGGTCTGCCTCCCGTCACCTGACTACACAAAGGTTGACCTAATCGCTAGAAAATTTTTGTTAGGCCTAGAATACGCAGATGACATGGTCCTGTTGGGTGAAGACGCTGGCAAGATGCAGAGCCTTCTGGACACTTTGAGTGTCAATTTGGGAATGCCTGGGGTGCGCCTCTCACCACCCAAATGCAAATTGTTGCTCCATGATTGGTCTTAAATGGTGCATCACCGCGGCTAACAATAGATAGTGTACTACTGGTTGAGTGTGTCGACCACTTCACTTACCTGAGAAGTGGGATCAGCCCCGGTGGCTCAGTTGCCGATGAAATCTCTGCACGCACGCAAAAGGCTCGGTTGGCTTTCGCCAACTTACGCCACCTGTGGCGCCACCATGATATCCGATTGCCTATTAAGGGTTGCGTGTACTGCACAACAGTCTGCTCTGTTCTAATGCATGGCTTCGAAACATGACCATTGAAGGTGGAAGACATGAGAAGGCTTCAGATGTTTGGCTACCGTTGCCTTCGAAGTATAGGCCGTATTTCATGGCGTCAACAAGTGAGTAACGTTGAAGTCAGGTGTAGAGTTTTAGGCAGCATGGATAAGATAGTTGATGTAGTTGTGAACCTTCATCGACTGAGATGACTGGGACATGCATTACACATGCCTAATCACCATCTGCCTCGTCACACGATGTCGGCCGAAGTAGGTTCAGGTTGGTAAAAGGCTCCGCGTAGTCAGACTAAAACACGGTATCAATGTATGAAGTCCTTAACTGTTCGTTCCAGCCATGTGGGGAGATGCAGACTAGGTGGTTGGGGTCCGCGAGACAAGGAAAACCAGTGGGTGGAGACTCTAAGGGACATGGTTGAGAACCTATGTCTGGCGCAGATGTATACACACATTATCCCCACCTTAACACTATGCCGATTCTCACCATTTTCTCATTCTCCATTTTTCCTCTTTTAGTACGTTATATTTCTTTTGGCTGAATTGTTTCTTCATCTTCAACTTCACTGCCTCTTACTTGATGTACTGTTATGAGCGGTGGCAACTCGGACTGTTACGCAGTAATGCCTGGTCCTATGTCGATGTGGATGGACGGATGTGTGTGTCTTAATGGTAACATACAATAGTAAATAATACATCACGGTGGAGTTTCAAAATGCGAAAACTTGAGCTGTGTAAAGTCCTATGCTGATTTTTTCCCCTATTTGCCCAACAATTACCGGAACATAACACTTTTAATATTGAGCAAGAGGTGTTACGTCAACTCATGACTGTGGATGTAATAAAATGTTACTACAAGCTTTTTGCTTGGATCTAGGCATTTATATATGAGCTTAAGGAGTTTTTTCCAGGGTGACAATAACCAATGGTGTCCACCAAGGTTACCAACGATCAATTTTGTTCAACTCCATTATAAATACACTTATACATGACTTCTCAGATGTTGATTTCTTGTCTTGTGATCACATGGTTTTTGTTAAGCAGATTTTAGTGGAATATAGGTCTTCTAAACACCCTGAGCATA